AGGATAAGTGCGTCGTTAACGAACCTACCTACCTACCTACGCCGCGAATTAAGTGAATTAAAGCTAGTGGAAAAACGTTGAGCAGTGAAGCGCAAGGAAATTGACCAACCAATCGGCACATTTCTTTAGGTATTCCAAAAGACGATAGAAGTTTGGCCTTCGGCAGAAGTAACTGCGGTTTCAACAAGTTTAAATCGGTAGTTACTTCTGTTTCGAGCCAAACTTATCGTCACTTCTATCGTCTTTTGGAATACCTAATGAAATATACCGATTGGTTGGTCAACTTCCTTACTACTTACGTTTTTACATTATACGCTCCCAGCCTTTCAGTCACTGTTTCTTTTTTTCCTGTTATAAAGATATGGATTCAGACGTTTTTCCCTTTCGCATGTAACGACGACACCGACGAGAAGAAAATATAACAAGTTTCACATATTTTTACCAAAGATAACGATTATAGATTTCGTAGGACGTCAATAATATACAAGTTGGGGAACTTGAGATGTCAGACTCCGGTTGAGGCCACGACATTTCCGATGATAAATATCATAGAAAATTAAGATATGCGTCAGATATGTGATATATATGCGATATATTTGTCACTTGCTTCATTTCGTGGCGTATTATATACTTGACAATTTCTGTTTTAACATATGACACAAGGTGATACTTTCGTGAGTCTACACATTTTTATAAAAATGCATATAACGTAGAATATATCCTGTTATTTTTCTCTGAGATAGGTAAATTAACCATATTTCTTCTTCTCTGATCAAACAAAAATTTACTCCCTGTTTTCTGTTTTTATAACGAGTGCGTACATTTATTCAATTTTGACGAGCGAAAGTGTACACAGACAAATTGGAAGAGAAACAATTGTCACAAAGACTCACCAGTACTGTTGTTGCCATCTATCGCGGGTGTTTGGAGAAGGTTGAATGGGAGACAGTCTCTTGTTGACATGCACCAACAGTCGCGCCGAAACACCGAAGGAAGGTCGAGTAGGAGGCTGTTCGTTGCTGTTTCCTTCTCTCTCTCGCCATCTGTAGTAGAAATTCGGAATTAATTTGGAAAAAATATAATTACCGACGATCATAATTTTTGAAGAGAGAGAAATATTTCAGCATTTTCATTCGTCTCATTCATCTCATTGAGAAAATCGGTAAAATTTACAAATTATTCTACTTATTTTAAGATATGTGTGGAAAAAATTAAATTTCCTCTCATAGAATAATATTTACAAATTTCAATGTTTAAAAAGTAAATTTCTTGGTAGATTTTCTAATGTTGTTCAATTTTTGTAAATTGGAAAGTTCCAAAAAGGTTTAAAAACAACACTTCAACATAAATAATTTTGCTAAATATTGATCATTCATATTTAGAAGATCGATTATGACGAAGTCATTATAGCGAAGCTCTTCGTGACTGGCAGCAATTTAAATTCTTATCATTTTATGATCCGCTTAATACAACACGGACAACGTTAAACAATCTGATATTGCGGGTGTCGTAAAGTAAAATAAAAATAAAAGTCTAGCGAGGAAAAGCTAAACAGGACGTGAGCCGCCACTGACGTAACATGTGGGTCAAATATTTTAGCGACAATTATCGCACACAGTAACGATCTTACGCTCGGTCTCTTAAACGGCCGATAATAATGTTAAGTGAGCCAACTTGGGTATCAATAATAAGTGCATCGTCATTAGCGGCAATTAGTCCATCGCTTCTCAATTAGGCTGATCAACGTAAACAGATTAGAAGCGCGACAGATCTTTAAACGCGACAAATCTTAGCTGAAAAAATATTTAGTGGCAAATAAAAGAGAACGATGTAGATTTTTCTCCTATGATTTATATTATATATATGTATAAATATAAAAAGTATATATCTTTTATATTCCCCCAATCTCAACGGTATCGCGATTATTTTTGAAATCTTATAAATTTTAAATATTTTATATAGGAAAATTCGGAATACAGTTTCGGATATATCCTTTTCTAATATTCGGACATCAAGGGCTTTTAATCTCCAAAAGGCAAGCGCAAAAAATCAGAAAATGAAAATGTTCCGACCTAAATCGAAAGATATTTCATTAAATACAACTAGAGGAAACGCGTTGCACACGTATGTTTTCGCGAAAACAGGCAAACAGATCTTAAGATATAGCTGTTTGACTTGGGACCTGTTTGATCAAGATCGGGTCGCTCTTTCGTTAAACGTTATCATACTTCTAGTGCTTGTTAGCTCTTTTTATTCCCACTTACTGCCCATTTATAGGCGACTTACGCATTAATAGTCACAAAAGATACCGAGAGCAAATGGTTGTGTATACGTTACTCGCATTTGTAAGACGACCTGATGATCGACTGTTATAATCAAAGTATCTAATATGAGTGCCACAACGAGTACTGCTTTACTATCTGATTACCTACGGTATTAATGCAAGCAAATATTGAAAGTGAGAAAAAAGCATACAATTACGTGCACGTGCGCAATAACAAGCATAAGAAGAGCAAACAGTAGAGGCCGGTCGTGTATCGGTACGCATAAAGCTCGTCGATTGCATGCATGCAAATGCGAGCGCGCAATAATATAGGTTACACCTTGACCTTAGAAATATCAGATTAATAGACCAGCTTTAGATTAAATGAAAAAAGTCTAATTAACAACTCATTTATAACGTTTACCTTTCGCGAGAATGACATATAATTTATTAAGTCTGCATTCCAAAATTGTACTAAATGTACTGGCAGTGGATTGAAAATCCACAGTAGACGTAACGAGAACTATAGATTTTCAGTCATGCAGTCAGCACATTTCGGAATACAGCTTATACAATAAAAAGTTTGTTCAAATAACGATCCATTGAAATTTGTGTTACTTTAACAAGATAAACATGCCAAAAAGTAATACGTTAACGAGATGAATATATTAACATATATTGATGTGCTCTTTAACATATTTCAATGTTAAAATAACAAAAAAATTTCACCATTATTTATATTAAACTTTTTACTGCGTAGGTAGTGCAATATGACTGATGCTTCGTATCATGTGTTTGCACTCAGAAAACTCGTTTCATATCGATTAATTAAAAATCATGCAGTAAAGCAATGAACAAATCATCATCATTAGAGGAGAAACCTGGCTTGTAAAATTAATTTCAAATATATATTTACGTTTATACACATAAGACACTCGTTTTTTATTAATAAATAAAAAATAATACATAGTGTATTTTTTTAATCTCCAAGATATTACTATAACCGATCTCTCTATATAATTGTTCAGGCGTACAAAATTTACGAGAAATATTTGTGAACTGCTTCGTGAACGTGGCTAACTTGAAAACTTGTTCCGCGTAAAAAACAACGCGCGAGCATTATGCGTCCAATCGCAAACAGTTTGCTAATTGGTTAAGGGAGTTCGTTGTATATGGCGTGTCCGAATTAGCCAAGAAGGAATAATTCTTTTTAGTACGATAGCGTCTGGCATATTAGTAATTATGTACGATAAATGTCGTAAGCAATACGCGTATCTATCATTATGATAAACGTACCGGGATTACTTTTATTGTATCAATTTTCTTGCCTTTATGTTCTATTGAGATGTTTGCTTAAACATTTACAACATACTTGTTTACAAAACAAGTATAAATTGTATCTAGTCTCCCGTTAAATATAATCTTTTATATTGCATAATCAAGCCGAAATCAATCGAGAAAACAACCCGTAGATAAAAAAATACCCCCGCCCACTGAATTAAAGTTAAGATAAGTTCGAAACTTGCGAGATCCACTTTAAATGTAAAATATCGAAAATGAAATTCGCACATTTATGAACTTTATTCTCATTAAGCTCAATTTCAATCGACCAGATGTATAAATTTAAAAAAAGAATGCAAGGAATATTCTTATATGAATCGATCAATTTGATTTGTACCAATATCGTAATATCGACGATAAAGTTTTTACACTGCGTACGGGGCAGAAGCGAGCGTTTCGCGAGGAAAATAAAATGCGACGACGGTCGAGCGCGCGCCAGTTCGCGGATAAAAGACGTCTATCCGGTTTAGAAGTAATTGTACCTATCTCAAATCTCGTTCGTCCTAGCGTGGAAGGCTACGTTAAATTGTGCTCGGCAATGATCACTCGCCGAGAGCAATGGATCCGATGGATGGGTCGACAACCCTCGTATTTACCCCCGTTGTCGGAAATTATCCCGAGCGATGCTGAATAATAAAGCGGCACTACGACGATTGAGCGCGAGCGAATTTTCCAGAGAAAAACGCGTTACGTTTTCGCGAGGAATTTGAAACGTGTCTTCATTTTTCCTCGAACGTTAACGGTGGAAAGTACGGCCGTGTCCCACCGCGACAACAAAAGCCGACCTTCTGGTGCTCGGCTAACGAGTCGGATGTGTTTAGGGTCAATTTGTCTATTATCTCGTTGTCAGTTTTATTTATTACACTTCTAACACGTCTCTCACGACGTACGTGCGACTTCCACCAGTCCGAGATTCCTCGGTGCAAGTTAATTAATTCTGATTTCTCGACTCGCGTCGCTCCGAAGTCGACGTACACGCACTCACTTCGCGTGACCGGCTCTCAGAGATCGACGCACTCTCTTTCTCTCGATGCGATTTATTCAAACGGCAAACCCTCCCCCCTCCCCCCCGGGATATGTTGATCGTGTGTCTCGATTATGATAAAAATTAAAATCTACATAAATATGCACAAAACGCGTATGTAAAGTGACTAATCGATTGTAATATCTGTAAAACATCGCGCGACAATTATCTAGAAATCTAACATTGTACGTCACAAGTTATATATTGTGAGAGTATACAAGGGCGTTACGGCATCAGTTTTTTATAGGATCGTGCAGGGGTGCGGCACCCTCGATTGGTACGCGACTGCGTGTACGTGGGTGGAGGAAAAAGCCTGGTAGCACGACCGACGGCACGGGGAGAGTGACTTAATGTGCCAGTCGTGAGCGCGATTCCGTCGCGCCGCGTACTTGAAGAGCCGCACGCGGCTAAGAAGCGGAGGACAGAAGCGCGCGAAAAGAGGGAGCCCGAGAGAGAAAAGAAGAGAGGATCTTCTCTCTCTCTCTCTCTCTCTCCCCCTATCCTCGATCGAGACGCGTCAGTTCGTCCACGTCTGCTGCCGGAAACGCTACCGGAAGACACCGGTTCTTCCCGTGGGATTGCCTCTTCCTGTTGCCCGGAGGAACAGCAGGAGCCGAACGTGCTGCTTGCTTCTTCTTCGCCATAGTGAGAGACGCGAGTCTTCCGCGTGTGCGCGAGTTCACAAAGATTATCCCGTTGATCGATCATTCCGCGATGATCCCGCATCGATCATCAGCGTGAGACTTCCGCTGAAGATACCGTGGACGAACGGAGCTGCTGGACCGACTCTTCCGACAAGAGGCGACTTCCGACAGAATAAGGTAAGAACAAACGATGCAATGAATTAACGACTTAAACGCGAGGTCATCCGATCGCCTCGCGCAAGCCCGGAATTGCGTTCGTCAAACTCATTCTCGCGCGTTTACGAGACTGCATCCGACTTCTCACGTGACAAGGGAGTGTGCGTGTAATGCCATAAGCGTTGTACATCGCGTGAAATTCGCCAAGAGCGAAAGTGTTTTTCGCGCATACAGGTTACCTCGTGTCTTCCGACCTAATAAACGATGACCTTAATTACAAGTAATCTGCGGTAAAGCATCGGTTCCGCAGTTTAGGGTTAAAAAAGTATTACGTTTAGTATTACGATTCGAATTTGTGACATGTTGCGAATAAAAGTCAGAAAGAGAGAGAGAGAGAGAGAGAGAAAGGTCTTCGAAGTTCTTCGTACACGACTGTCGCCGGACACATCAGACGAATTCATTATTTCAATTAAAGCGTCATGCTTTTAAGAGGCTTTAACTAATATGAAGTTCTCGTCGTGGAGCAGTTAAGGCCCACCGCGTGGAAAAGCTCGAAAGACGCGCCGCGTTCATCAACGGAAACGAGGGAATTTTACAGTTCGTTAAAAAGCAGCTCGCTTTATGCGAGACTACCGTGACCACTTTCCGTACCGGCGAAACATCGGTGCTTGCGCTTCTCTCGCCGTTGCTAATTGTCGCGCTCCGTTATTGTCGTGAATCTGGTTACAACTGCTCACCTATGTTTACCCCGCATACATAAATTTCAAGTGCTCCGTCATAGGTGACGACGCTCTCTTGATAACGGCTTACCTTGCAGATGTCATGTCTGCGATGACAACCGTCAAATGCGCTCTAGATCGATCTTCCACGTTCAAACAACCGCCTGGAATTCGATGAAATAAGTCGTGCTATCAATTCCTCACGATTATTACACCAATCTAGTCGACTCAAACAAAATTCTTGTTTGAACATGAGCATATTGTGAGAAGCAAGTTTGGTCCTCTGAAACGAAAATGAAAAAGGTTTGTTCCGGAGAATCAAATTTTGGTTCTCATAACCAAAATATTTGTTTGCCCATGTCCATACAAGAATTTTGTTTGAGTCAACTAAAATGGGTTTCTCGGTGTACAGTGAGATAAAGAAATTGAAATTTTGCGAAGTACATGTTTTCTGTGACGTTTTCTTCAATATTTATTGGTTAGAAAAAAAATAATTGATTGTGATGACGGAATATATAGTTTTGTTTGAAGTATACCCAAGCTTTTTTATTAATTGGTTGATTTGCTAAGAAAAAAACTTTATTTCGTCGTATTAAAAAAAACGTTTGTTTCTGTGAAATAAACCTTATATTTCACAAATAAACTTTTAAGTCTTTTTTTTTCATCGTACGCATTTTCCACGCAGTTTCCAGATTCATTCAAAATTTCGTATCGAACTCTTTCATTTCTTAATTTTGCTTGGTATCGATTTACAAGTTTTCTTCGTTGGTAGTTGTGCAAATCCCTTCAATAATAATCTAATTCTTTCGACGCAAAGAGACAATATATTCACGCTGAAATATTTGGGACGGGGAGAACATAAAGAAGAGGAAAACTTTTCTTCACAGATTCAGGTTGATAATCTCAAAACACGGTATAAAGATTAACGTGCCACGGAAACCGATAATCCTCCTCACGTTGATTGATTCTCCGACTTAAAGCTTTTAACCGCCCAATCACTTCCGTAACGCAATTCGAAGAGATCCATCAGATATTCCATCGGATAATTTTCTGTAAGGACACAAAGGCATCTCTTGGGGCAACGAGTCCTGTGCTTGAGTCATCAACCTTATCGTCGTCAATTAATCGATTCCTTCCACGATTCCCCCGTAGCTTGTTTCGTGATTACACGATCGACTTCCGTCATGCAAATTGTTACTTTTATCCTAAACGACACCACACGTCACAAAACAACGCCGACGACAATGAAAAAACCCTTCCGCGTACAAAAGCCCGTGAACGACAAAGCTCGACACGTGGTATGAGTCACTTGGCATACGTGCGTGACCAATACGACCAGAAATATTCTTTTCAACGAGAGAGAGTCTATAGATCGACGTCTATCCTCGCAGGCGTCTGACTGTACTAACTATACTGTTCGCCCGACCATATATTATCTAACAGGTGATCGTCATTGTCCCTTCGTGCCGCGATCCATTTTTTATTTACACGAATTTTTTATTTACACTTAAATCGTGCGCTCGTACGGGCCTTGTTAATTTTTATCGCGAAACGATGAAAACCCGTCGAGCTGCTGCACGTGCACGAGCTGTCTTCGTGTTTTTCGCAAGCGCGCTCTTCTGAATCAAAAACGCGGACAATTTATGACGACCCGGTCGTGGGTTTTGTTCGATATATCGATCTCACGGCGACGAAAGAGAAACGACCTCCGGCACAGCGTGATAGGTCGCTGGTATCAAAAGACGCGCGGAGGGAAAGGTATCTATGAAAATTCTTCGTCCAAGTCTGGTACGAGGCACAGAACTCGCGGATTCGAGCACGAAAAAGGAGCTCGCATCAGAGCTCGCAGGCTCGATTTGGAAACTTCACTTGGACACGTCAGGGCGACAAAAAAGCGTCGTCTAGTCTTCGAGACGCAAATTATCAACGAAACGTCCACGATAATAAGCCTATTCATTTCAACTGAACTGATGTTGTACTGGAATTTCTTTCCTTTTCTCTTCACCGTTAGATTATATACTTTTTTCTCTCCAAGTGCGAAAAATGCAATCTAGTTCGACTAAAACGAACAGGTCTATTATCGAACAAACCTGATGACTCGCTGACCGGCGCGTAAGCGTTCCGTCATTCGTCCTTTATAAATACATACACACGGATATATTTGCTGCAATACACACCTCATCGATTCGACTCAACGACCCCTTTCTCACGTCGGAAAGCACGCGCCGTCCTAAGACCATCCCGTAAAAGCTTTCGCGGCACTAATCGCCGGAAGGCTCGCGTAGAAGTCATCAGCGAGAAATATCCATCCGCCGTTGTCGGAAGAATCAGAAATGGCTGGTGTTTCTATTTTACGTATAGCAAGAAAATTGATTTCTTGGCAGGAAGGATATGTTTTCCAGTTTCCTTTCGTACATCAACGTAAGCCTACGCATTCGGAAGGCCGATCATTTACTCCTGCACGAGATATTTCGCGAAACTTTTACTAGCAGAAGAAGGAGATAGATAAAGCATCACTCGCGTTAAAATTATTATCAGACGTTGAGAAAATATTATTATTAACTAATATCTCCTCATAGTTTATGTGAAAGTTTCTATGCGGAGTAATGGTTATCTTGAAGCTTCAATATTAAAGTCTGAAGGAAGGGGGGAACATTCTATTCTGGAAAAAAAAAAAATATATATATATTTAGAGCACTTCACGTCAATCCCCACATTTCGCACACACTACAACATATCGTTGTAAAATTTTTTTCCCTTAAAATTCATTGTCATTTTATCAAGTTGAATATCTTTTTTCATGAAAGCATTGACAATTGGTGAATTATGCAAGAAAGATCTAACGAAGAAAAACGTTTCGAGAAAAATTAAGATGAAAATTGCAATGCATGATTTAAAAAGTATAAATAGCACTGAGATTCTTCACAATCATTTAAGAAGTCAACTAGTACAAGATAGAAACTGTTTTTTAATTACTTTTAAGCACCGATAAGGGATCTTTTTGTCTTATATAGAAAGATGTATAGATTACGCCCATTGGTAACAAAATCTCAAAAATCATAAATTTTGTAAATTAGATTTTTCTTGCATAACTATAGCCAATTGTCTGTCACATTTCATAGCTAACGCAATGTTTGTTTTCTACAGGTGCAGGAATATCGCTCACGATTCCCCTGGCGCTTCCCGAAGTCATCGTCGTGGAGACATTCACCTTTATCGTCGCCCGTGCAACAGCCTCGGAAAAAAATTCTAGGAAGATACCTCCTAGGAAGAGACATCCGAAAGAAATAGTACTTCGCGGAAGACGACGGAAGGCATCGATCGGCGGATGATCGACGACCGTGCCGGCGCTCGCGAGTAAGTCGGGTACAGAGAAAAAGAGGAAACGAGTGGTTGCGGCGGCGTATGGGGAGGAAAAGAGCGAAGAAACGTTAGAGTGTGGCGCGAGACGAGATCGCAATGAAAGTCAATAAACCGTGATGAGTAACGGAGAGCAGTGGTCGGAGTGGCATTAATAAATTAGTGTCTACTTGCTGCAAGCAACAGCAGCAGTAACAGCAGCAAGAGCCGGAGGAGGAAGAGGACGGAGAGGAGGAGGAGACGCGCGCGAATCTCGAGTGCGTCGGTGTGCGCGCGCGCGCGGGTACGTGTGTCGATGCGGGGATTTGGCCAGTGTGTCAGTGTGAAAGAAGACAATTGACTCGCAGCCACCGTCGGACGGTGCTTGGCGGGGGCCTTCTGACGTCACATCCTGCCCCGCGTACGAGCCGCGATCTCATCTGGACCACGACGCGCAAAGGTACGCAGATTCGTGTGCTCGACGCGGAGCTCGCTGGAGTTTAAAATGCCTCCCCTCCCCCCGATGTCGTCGGGAAATCGCGGTCTACGCGTCGCTTGAAAACCCCTCTCTCTTTCTTCCGAACGATTACAGGGATTATACGGATCGACAGAGCAGATTGAATTATCTTGGCTAGTAAATAGAAAGTCAGCGAGCGAAGCCAAAGAAATCGATTCATGATCATTCACCGCGTCACTTTTGAGCACGATGCCAACTCGTAGAACGCGTTTGCTTTACTTTAAATTGTAAACGTAGTAGAACGCGTTTGCTTTACTTTTAATTGTAAATGAAGACAGACGAAGCTTAATTCGTTTCCTAGATTTAAATTTATGACATGTCAGGTGTAACATCTTTCAGCAGCGGTGCTGATGATGACCAAAGTGCTGAATCATAAAGAAAGACACAAGTACACATTTTTCTGAAGAATGTAACACATTATGAAGTGTGTCTGGTAGTAGGTGCGTCGTATGCTTGTAGATCAGACTGGACAAAAAAGTCTTTTATCATTTTACTTATGTATTTTGCATTTTTATTTATGCATTTTTTATGCATTTCTATTTATTCATTAATTTATTTCTTTTGCAGACAATTACGTGAAATTCTGAGTTATTAATTAATAAAGACTGACACCTCAGCCGCTTGCCAATCGGCGGCCAGTGACGGACGAAATTACTCCGCCGCTCCTTGACTGTTGGTTGACGAATGGGGTGTTTAGGCGCCGCTATCACTCGTCTTCTTTAATTAATAATTCAAAATTTCATGTAGTTGTCTGCAAAAATGGCAGGGGACATTTTGGTTCGATTTAATTTATAAGCACATGATGGATCTTGTACTTATTGTCGGACACACTGTATGCTATTTTTTCAAAGAAATATTCACTACTGTGTCTTTCTTTACGATTCAGCGCTTTAGTTATTACCAGGACCGCCGGAAGATGTTGCACCTGACTCATAAATCTCTGATAAGTACGAATTAGGGTCATTCTATCCGTCTTCATTTATAATTTGGTGTAAGTAAACACGGTTAGGCACCCTGTATGAAGTATCGTGCCAGATCCTAAAGAAGCGAAATCTTGTTACGACAGATTAATATTTCATCAGGAATAAATTATTCCCGGACACTCGTATGTTCTACGAGAGAAAGATCGCGCGAGAATCGTGCGAAAAAAGCGTTCGGAGCGTTCTATTCAGTGTTGACGTCTTCGTGGTCGCGAGATTCCTCGCGACGGCGTGAAATTTTAGATGACGTATGATAGACTCGTCTCCTAATTAACTGGGGCGTTGCGCGAGGCCCGGCCAGGCACCGTGAGAGAGAGAGAGAGAAAGAGAAACTCGACATTGGTCGTCGTGACGAGGACGTTACGATCAAGATACGACGAATGAAGAACGCGCGGTTGGTCGCGATTTTCCGCGATTTCCCGCAAAGATTCTCTTCCTGCGTTATCCATCCAAGGTCGCTGTCTCGCGTCTCGCTTCGACGGACGTACAAGTTCGAGTCGGAGGTGCGCTATTTACCGGTCCGATAAATTGGAGGAGTCTAATTTTGCGGCGGACGCGACGCAGCGTTGAGGTCGTAACTGCATCGAGTCCGGCGCGACGACTTACGTCAAGTGTTCAGAACGGACTTGCGTGTAAACTAAAGCGAGACGTCCCGCCGAAGACGCGACGCGTCAAAATGCGTTAACTTATAAAGCAACTCCGTCGTCATGCTTCACTTGAACGTTCAAAAAGCCGTGCCCGGTTCGGTCGAACGCATGCTTCGGAGAGAACGGAGAGCGTTCCACCGTTGACGCGTGAAGGTGCGTTCCCGAGAAGTCGGACGTCCGACAGGGAGCGTAAGGGTCAATTATCCGTGGCGGGCGAGCGCGACGCGTCGTTTTTTCTTTCGTAAATCAAACTCAATTGATCTCGTGAAAGAGATAATTGCAATAGCTTACGATACTTCGAAGAAACGACCGATGTCGGATTACGCATCGTTGTTATGGCGCGACCGTCAGCGTCTCGCCGATAACGACTGTAGCGAGCACGTATATCGGTTCGTTGTATCGCGTTGCGTATACGAAGCTCATTGAAAGCGCAAAGGTACACGCCTTGACATCGGTTTCGTCGAGTGTTTAGATGTAAGCGGAAAATACCTCGAGACGAGAAAAATGGGAGATCGTATATATATATATATATATCTCTCTCTCTCTTTCTCTCTCGGAACGATGGCTTCGGCCGCATCGAATGTACATGTTGTTGCATCATTCATACGAGTCCGGTCGTACCTGCCCGCTGGATATCGCGAGGGGAAGTCGTAAATCCGAAAACGGCAGCTGCAATCGCAAAAATGCATCTGCGGGTCGTCGGGGTAAGTTCCGAGTATCGCGCGAACGAGTGAGACACGCCGGAAGGACGTTATCTCGTGTGCTTTATGGAAAGGAGCGTGGGTGTCCACGTGGCCTGAATCGTAAAAGCGCTCGAGGTGAGGCAGCCCTCGAGCATGAAAGAGCGTCTGATCCTAATCGGCCTACCGTAACCGATTAAATCGATGGTGCCGCGCTTGGGCGTCAACCGCGTACAGAAAACGGTTTTGCCTGAAAATAATACAGAACAATTCGAGGCTAGTCTCATTTCGAAAGTTCATATTGTTTCATAGTTTCGATAGATGGGTTATCTGTAATACATTCCTCCATTTCTGCGGAGATTTATATCTTTATATTTAAGTAAAGACACCTGATTGATCTCGTTTACAGTGAAAATTGAATTACTCTTCCAGCGAATGAAGAACAATGACCCACTGCGACAAGAGGATCCTCGGGATCCTTGTCTTACTCAACGTAGTCGCAAAGATTCCGGCAAATCGGACAGATTCGCCGAAAACGGACATGGTTGAGGAAACGGAGGTCTTCATCACGACCAAGAGAACTTTGCCGGACAGGTGTCTCGTCAAGACAGAACCCGGACCTTGTAATCACTACGTTCACAAGTGGACCTTCAACAAGGCCGAGGGGAAATGCCGAATGTTCTCTTACGGCGGATGTCTCGGAAATGAGAATCGATTTAACTCGGAAGCTGAGTGCCTTCATTATTGTATCGGCGGTGCTGATCGTAAGATATCAAACAAAAAAAATATTCGACCAAACTTTTGATATACAGGGAGTTTTAGCATAAGGAGAACATCGAAATATCTCCTTTTGTGTTTATGAGAAATGTTTAGAGTACAATTTGAACGGTTTCGAAAGGAGAATACCGCGGGAGGGAAATTTTTTATGATCATTTCTTCGATTTCTTTAACGTCCCCATGTTTAGGCCCTTAAAATATGTAGGTGTTATGCTGAAACACCCTGCATATTTATATATGAATTATTCGCGATTTATATCTATCTAATATCTAAAACGACTTCTGCTAAATCAGTTTTCCACTACGAAACATTTAATAGAAAAGCTTATACTTTAATAATACTTAACGGAAGAGAAGAATATTACATGTTCGTTGGCTGTTCCTAGATACACTACCGCCTCATCTCGTGACGAAGAGCAATGTATTCGTAACAACGAGCACCACGACGAGCAGCACTCCACTCCCGACGACTTCCAGCACACCACGGCCGACTTTCACACCTCCCAAGCCGACGAAGCCACCGGTACCAAAGCACAAACGAGGAAAGGTAAAACCGCTTGTATAAATACGTGCGTGTGTTTTACACAAACTAGAAACATTATTTCTACTATATCTTTCTACCGAAGGAGTTAACTTTCATGGAGTCAGGCCACGAGAAGACATTTATGTTTGCGCAAAGCAATACTTTCATCCAACTCGATGGCCCTGGCATCAAAACCTTTCAATTGAGGTAAACATAGCGTAATTTTGAATTATCTACATTAATATTTACATAATTTATATTAATCTTTTTCATTTAATGAGTAATGATGTTATATTTTCATATTTTAATGGGAAATGTTATCACATATGCCATAACGTACAATTATATACGTTGTTTTATATCATTTAACAGATTATGCCGTGAAATATCTTTCAAGTTTCGTACGAAACTTCCGCACGGTTTGCTGGTTTATCACAGCGTCAAAGATCGTCCGGAAAGTCTTGACCCCTACGCCCTGTACGTGATAGTGGAGAAAGGTCAGCTAAAAGTTGTTCACGTGTTCGGTAAACAGTCGACCAGCCTGACGGTCGGTGAAGGTCTCAATAGGGACGAGTGGCACAGCGTTCTTGTGAGAATCGACGTGCACGGAGCAAAGTTAATCGCCAGAGTCGATGATAAACAAGTCGAGACTACTTTGAAAGTCTTGGAACGTGTCGTGAATTACGGCGTGTCTGAAGAGTTAGCCTCTGTCGTTCTAATCGGAGGTGAGCGAAGTATTTTTTTCAAGTCTTCAGAGATTTCTTACCATTTTTATTTTTCTTTCTCTCTCTCTCTCTCTCTTATAGGACTGAGCTCCGAAGAACGATTACACGGGGTGAAGTACATAATAGAGTCCTTCGTCGGCTGCATCAGGGATATGGTTCTGAGTTCCGGAAAATCCGCCAGCGACCTGTTGCCCATTCGACCGTTAATCGCGACCAAACACGAGAACGTTAAAGAAGGCTGTATCGATAAGTAAGTCTTTCAAAGAAATCCGAGTGAAGAAATCAATCGGTGATGCAAACGGAATATTTAATTCTATGCTAAACCTAAATTTGTAGATGCAGGACACGGGAGAACTTATGCTTCGTCCCAAATCAATGTGTGAATCATTACAATAGCCTAACATGCGACTGCTTTGGGACGAAATACGAGGGTGAACGTTGCGATGTGTACAGTACGTAATTAGGTTTAATATTAATTTTTTTTATTAAAATTAAAATTTTTTTTAAGTCAACTCATTTGTCTAATTTAGAAGTGTGATATTTTCCCAGAATTTAAAATCGAATTTATTAACTGCCAATATTAAATAGGATTTCAGCATTAAAAAAGATATTCAGAAAAAGTTTTGTCACCAAGAATTCCTTTGAGAAACCGTTATCAGAGGAATGCGATTGAATAGAAACAACAGAAATGCACTAAACATAGAGATGCATTAGCCTAGCGGTAAAAAGATAAAGCTCTCACACGTGCCTAAAAGCATTCGGACATTCCTAAATCTTATTAATAGAGCTCGTAATATAAAATCATTTTTCAGCCGCGACGATACTGACACTAAGAGGTTCCTCGTATGTGTCCTTCCGTGTGTACGATTGGAAGGATCGTGTTCACTCGTCTGTCAACAGGATCAGCCTCGCTTTTAAGGTATTTGACCACCATTCTAACGGGACCGGCGTTTCTTTCGCTGTTGTTGTATAGGCCCATTGATTCATTATGCCTGAGACGCATCTCTTTGGTAAAGTTGGGAGGGGTGGGGACGCACTTTGTGCCCTTACGAGCAGCTGCTTATACCTATCGACCAATTTCTATGACGACAATGTGGAAATTCGTCGGGAGAGTATCGGGAGTTCTACCTCTCGAATTATGTCGCAGCGGACTATTGTGCAAGCACAATGAAATTCGTCGCGCGCTGAATTACCGTGAATCACCGTGAATGTTACGATATATTAAAATTTAAGACTATAAATCATAATTATATTTTTTATAGACAAAAATAACCGTTTAGAAAATGTTCTCGTTAACGAGATCCTAAATTGCAATTTGTCAAGTTGCAAATTTATCTTCCGCTTTTCGGGAGATCCGTGTAAAAACTAAAATGCTGTCTTTCGAGGAACCGCTTTATTTTTAACGCTCGTCAAACGACGAATTTGCTTTCAGACGAAATGGGACGATTCGGCGCTGTTTTACGCCTCTGGCGAGATCGACGGTACGCCGCATTACGTCGCAGCTTCGATCATAAACGGATCGGTTTACGTGGAGCTCGATTTCGGACATAACTCGAAGATCTCTACTATGTTGGGTGACTACGTCACGTCCGACCATTGGAATAACTTGACCATTTTCCACAATGGGTCTCTCGTCTTCGTCAGTTTGGACGAGGAGGTGAAGGTGCTAGAAGTGCCGGGAGAAAATTATAATATGATCATCGATCCCGAGATATACATCGGCGGTGGCCCGGAACTCCACAAGAAGAAGGGTCTTTTGTCACACAATAACTTCGCGGGTTCGTGCGAGAGAAAACTCTCTACTCGATTGTGACACCAACAATTTTTCCCAATTATATATAAAGTTTTATGCCAAAGAGATGATTCACGTGTAAATAAATAAATAAATTAATAAAATTGTAACAATATTCGATTGAGACAAAATTCTATCGTTCAATTGATATGATTTTTTTTTTTTTCAGGATCCTTAAAGTACGTATTTTTCAACGACAAATCAATTATATACGAACTGAAGCGTTTCAATCCAATGGTGCACTACATCGGCGTATTGGAGCCCGAATATTACGAAGCCGACGTGGAAGTCATCCCGATCACATATCCCTTCGCGGGAAGTCACATCTGGTGGCCTGTCGAAAAAACCGACTCGCTGAAACTGAATTTCGACTTCAAGAGCTCGAAACCGATCGCGGTCGTCGCCTCGGGAGAAGTAAAGAGCAATCGCGGACTTGGCTATTGGGAGGTGATATTCATCGCGCTATCATTTTTTTTTTGTATTTTACGGTATTTTTCGGCCACTTGATAACTCGCGTACTTTGCTCTCGTCAAGCTACGTCAAGTGAACGACGAAATCCGCTTCCACTTACTGCCGGACGTGACGGAGAATATCACGGTGTCAGCGGCAGTGAAATTTCCGCCCTACAACACTTCCTGGCACGCGGTGGAACTTAATTACACGAAGGGCGAGCTCAGTATCCTAGTAGATTACAGGAATAAACAGAGCAAACTCTTCGATCTGACGTTCGAGCTGGGCGACAAAGTCATCATAGGAAGTGGCAAAAGTAACGCTGGTAAGTTGAAGGCTTCCTTAAAAGTTATAAAAAGAAAACAAGAAAATGCGAAATAAGAAAGATTTCTTTCCTCTCTGCTTTTCAGGTTTGGTGGGATGCATGCGTGAGATACGAGTGAACGACCAAAGAATCGAACCTAGGTACGTGATCAACACCCAGAGAGTGATCGGAGAAGTCGCTTTGGATAACTGTCAGTTCGTGGACCCGTGCAAAAGGCCGAACACTTGCGAACACGGCGGTAAATGTTCGGTCAAGGAAGACAGAATTACATGCGACTGCACGGATACTGGATACATAGGGAAGAATTGCCACTTTGGTAATTAACAACGATGTTATGATATTACTCATATACGAAGGAGAAATTTAAATAATGAAGAACATATTGAAAACGTTATTTCTATCAAATTTCTATATCATCGCGACATTTGAATATTACACATTAATCCTACCTATTCTTGCAGCGGAATACAGGAAAACCTGCGAGGAGCTGGCTCTCCTGGGATTCACGCAGGACGATGTTTACATAATCGACATCGACGGGAACGGTCGATTCCCACCTGCTCTGGTGAAATGCGAGTTCCAGTCAATCGAGGACTCGACTAAAACGATCGTCGAGCACAATTTGCCCTCCCAAGTGGACGTCAGATCCATCATCGAGAGCGACTTCTCTTTCAGCATCAAGTACAGGCAGTTCACCGCGGAGATGCTTCAGGAGCTCATCTCACATTCGCTCTATTGTAGTCAGTACGTGAAGTACGATTGTTACAAGGCACCCTTGGAGCTGCACAGCGCCACGTGGTTCCTAGGATCGAAGGGCACCACCGTCGATTACATCGGAAATGTCAATCGTGGATCCTGCCCATGCGGAAGTAAGTCCCCTTCCAAATGAATTCATGATATGAAACCCTTAGAAAGATTCGCGAACCGGAGGTTCCTTCAGAGAGGATGTTATTTATTAATTTCGCTTTAGTGAACAGAACATGCGTGAGCCCCAACTTGAGCTGTAACTGCGACGTGTCCACCGGAAATGCGGGGAAATGGCTGTCGGACGAAGGATACTACGAGACACCCGACTCCTTGGGCATCACCGGGATGGTGTTCTTGCAACAGAGAGATCTCGAGGAAGACGCTCGCGGACGTATCACCTTAGGTCCACTGGAGTGCGTCGAAACAAGTACGTGTACAAAAAAAAAAAAGAATAACTACGCCGCTTATAATGAGTGATACTCTAATTGATACTTATTAACACAATTAGCGCGACTTTCCTTTGCGCGATTATAGGAAGATAATAAGACTTTTTAGATGCACCGTTTGTACGACAAGTAACCATTTTATATAAACAATCGTGAGCACGATTTTTTCGAATGTGCGCCTTTCCACTACAATTTCTCGAGGTAACGACAAATTTATAAGATCAATTAATGATGATTTCCAGACACACAGAAGTACGTGGTAACATTCACGACGTCGCAATCGTACATCGAAGTGCCGGGCTGGAGAAAGGGTGATATAGCCTTCAGCTTCCGAACGACGGGTGAAAAGGCTATTCTCCTATACCAGCCACCTATTCGGAACAACTATCCTTCCTTCATGGTCGCGTTGACGTCCGAATATCGGTTGACTTTCAATTTCACCCTGAACACCGGCACCATTCGCGAACTGGAGGTAAAGAGCCGGCGCAAGCTCAACAACGGCGAGTGGCAGAAGATCTGGATCGATTACAACGACTATCACGTACGATTCATGATCAACACCGACTTCCAGATGGTGGACCTGTTGTCCGAGGAGGAATTTGGGCCCTTTGAAGGATCCATGTTCATCGGTGGCGCTACCGCGTGAGTGACTCGTGTCGATCGAGCGAATGATTTTCGAGCGATGAATTTATCACTTAAAACGGACAATGATCTTCAACATTTTTAGTGAGCACCTGAAGACCTCCTCCGTCCGACAAGGCCTCATCGGTTGCTTTCGCGGTCTCGTTGTCAACGGAGAGATATTAGATATTCACAGTTACATGTCGGTACATCTGTCGGAAATCATCAAGGATTGCAAGCCTTCGTGTCAACCCAACAAGTGTCAGAACGGCGCCAGGTGCGTCGAGTTGTGGAGCAACTTTGAATGCGTGTGCGAGAATCAGTGGGCGCACTTAGGCACTTATTGCGAGACAAGTAAAATCAATAATCTCGTGTTGTTAATTTTGCGCACGACAACCGGTCGACAACAATTAATCTTGATTCGCGAGTTTAGACATCAACAATAAGGCTCTGACGTTCACTTCGCCCGGAGCGTTTCTGAAAAAGAATTACTTCGGAACGGATGACCTCGAGGAGAAGATACTGCTGAAGAGCATGCTGCTGGAGAATATCCTGATCAACTTGAGAACTTACGACACGCATTCCCTGATACTCTACGCGAACGATCATCTGAACAACTTCGTGCACCTCTATATTTCGAACGGCACCAATATCGTGTACCTCTTCAACGCCGGCAACGAGATCAAGAATATCACCGTGGAGAATCCAAGTATGTCGATACATATTCATTCGAGTGCGCGCGATGTGCGAATTAGAATTTAGATAAATCGTTCTCCTCAGATGTCAACACGGGGATCTCGGTGCAGATCGCTATCATTCGGGGCGACAACTGGACCACGCTACACGTTAACGAATATAACGTCACACTGAACGCGACGCCTGTACTTCTCGACACGTATTCGAACAAACCGTGGATCAATCCGGAGAAAGAGGTTTTGGCACCGCAACGACCGCCGGCACCACCGACTGATTATTTTCAGGTACATTCCCGAGCGGAAAGTATTCATTCTTTAAATTGAAATCCCAAGGCAGGAAACAAATATTTGAAATGTCTAAAGACGAAAATTTAAATGTACATTAACTAATAGAGATACAGTACAATAATTTGTCGGAAAAATAATTAAAAATCTCGTATAGTATCTAGTATATTGTAATTTTACATTCTCTCTCAAGCATGACGGTGTTTTCTGTTGCAGGTAAATTTAGGAGGATTCGATCCTGACAATTTACTAAGAGTTGGGAAAGAAGGCGCCTTAATCCAAGGTTACGTCGGCTGCCTGCGGGGACTTATGATACGCGAATATCTCGTCGACCTACCGAGCTTAGCCAGTGAAGCGAATCACGAAGGCAGCAAAGGCGTTTTGCCGAATTGCCAGATGAAGTGCGACGCGATGCCCTGCAAAAATTTGGGAATCTGCACGGAGGACTTCGGCAGACAAGAATCCTCCTGCAATTGCGAGCTGACGTCCTACTTCGGTGAATATTGCGCCGATGGTGAGTTGTTCGTTATGAGTTAAAAGATACGCTGCAAACTGAACTGAATCTAAACCAAGAAAGTTCATTATGATCTAAGGTTCCTAAACAGTAAGAAATTTTGTGTTAAATTTAACACATTTCACATGTCCCAAACTTTTTTTATATTAATTAAAATAAGGCGAATGTTAAGAAATATTAAATAAATATTGTATAAAAAATTAACACAAAATTAACATCTGTAACATGTTAATTTTTAAAATGTGATATTTTAACACTTACGCGTGTTTAATATCGACTCAACACAAAATATTGAGATAACACAATATATTAAATTAACACACGGGTATGTTAAAAACTTAATACAAGAATTTTAACAAGGACCGATTTCGACAAAATGTTTTTACCGTGCAAAGTCCAAGAATTACAAAAAAATTCGCAGATGCGGATATTCGGAAGTGAACATTTTCACAATTAGCTCTCGTATTAATAATTTCTAGTTCAATTTTTCTCCTACAGATAATTCGTTTCACAGTAATGTGAAAGTTTCCTCGAAAAATCTAACGTAAAAACTATTTGTCGCAGAAAAGGGTGCGGACTTTAGCGGAGAGAGCGTTCTTCAGCGAGAGTTCGAGTTGGAGGGCGAGATAAACCAGGTGAAAGTTCAGCTGGCGTTCTCGACGAACGAGCTACGACAACGAACTACCGCGTTGCTGCTGGTACAGACCGACAACAAGTAAAGCATCAATCTTAATATTTTCCTTAATCCTCGCGCTCGACCTAATCCGACACACTGTCACCTGTCACCGACGCCTGGAGTCCTGGATGTCTTTCGAGGAACTTTTTTCCAGAAGGAGCTACTACTTATTGGTGGCCTTGACATCTGAGGGGCAGCTCATCTTCGAGGAGGACCGGGAGGGCTCGGCTTACGGAGTGCGTCTCAACGATCGAAACTTCCTCAACGGTGCACGTCACAGCGTCTACTACGATCGCGATAATAATACATCGACTCTCTTGGTTTGTCGCGACTCGCTTTACTTCGACCTCTCCCTCTCTCTCTCTCTCTCTACATGTTGTAAGTCACTCTAAATAATAATAAATTTCGTATAATTTCAGATCGACCGTGAACCTGTACAGTTGCTGCCGATACCAATACTAAGCTTAGGAGACGAGGACGAAACTCCGGGTGCTACGGAGATCCAACTGGGCGGATTGAACACCACCGATCCGCGATTCAGCGCCTACAAAGGATATACCGGCTGCCTCAGCAGTAAGTACTTACTAAAAAATCGCTTATCCCTCGTACGGTTAAATTTATCGGCGTCCATAGGCGTCTGGTAAAACGTCTGTTAAAACGAATTTCAATTTACGATTACCTCGCAGACGTGGTGATATCGATCAATGGAGGCGCCGGTATGAAGCCACTGGAGGAATACATGCTCTTTACGAAACAGGGCAGTGAAACAGTCAGGGCGACAATACCCGCCGGCGTTAGGAGTGCCCAATGCGCAGTCTTTCATGCTCAACCACGTGGCCCCGAAACGTCTAGGAACGACAGTGTGGTAAGAAACTCAGTTCACATCTGAGAACTGATGTCTGATATCAAAAAGCGATCGATTTTATGTTGTGTAACTCTTCATCGACTATATCTTTTGTCTCATAATGAATTTCTTTATAAGAAAAAAAAAATAAGAAAAAAACGCATATTCCTACCGATCTGTAATAATCGCAAATTTTTAAATTATGATAAATTGTTAAATTGTTGATTACAAAGCTTCGATAAGAATTTCAAGAACAGGTATATTATTTTCCCTCTTAGTTCACTAACTTCGAAATAAATTGTTGTGCTTTGAAATTTATATTCTTTGAAATATGAAATCATTGTACTTTTCTACGTACATAAATAAATAAATTACGTGACCAAACCTTGAAGTCGTCGTAAGAGAATTTCTTTCGATAGTATTAATGTCGAACAAACAAGAAAGACAAAGGATATACATCAAATTCGTTAACGTAATATTTATATTACGTTAACGAATTTGTATTTTGATTTATTGAATTAATATTTATTACAGGGTCGCGATCGAGCATGGGTGGAGGATCCACCGGAAAGGACTTTGTACAAATCGCAATATTCAGGCGCCACTCAAGAGGAGCAGGGTGCGGGAACCTATATCTTTATAGCCCTATGTTGCGTCTTCGTGGCCGCGGTGATCGGCTGCATTTACGAGGTATGGCGAAGCGCGCGTAAGGACCGTCAACGACGTCGCACCGCGGTTTCGGGAACACCACCGACCACTGCGGTCGCTTCCGTTTCGCAACGATGGCAACCGCAATACACAGATTCCTTGGTGGCCGCCCCCGGTGTGAAGACGGTCGGCTTCAAGAACGTAATGGACGACGACAAGAGGCCGAATGGCACCCATGTGAAAGTGCCCAGCGCGAAGGAATACAAGCCACTGCCGAATACGGACCAGCCAAAAGACTTAATGAACGATAAAAAAGTTCACATAAAAGGTACTCTAAATTGTGATACTCTCCTATCTTCCACCGGTATGTAGGGAAATGAAGAAAAATTAGTACAATGGAACAGGAGAAATTTACCGTTAGATTTTCATGAAACATTGTAACAGCTTATTTCTCATGCAAATCGTACAGTAAAGGATTAGTCTAACTAACTCTTCTTCTCTATTCTAACTTTTGAAATTATGTCAGCGTGTTGCGTAGAACATGTTAAAAATAGAAACAGCGTTCTACAAAATGAAAGATAAATGAAAATCTCTACATGTAGATTGTTTTTCTTAGAAGCCATTGCTGTGCATCGCGGAATTAACTTAAGTTATGTAACTTTGTGTGCATTGCAGCAGACGAAGAGCCAGAGAAAAAGGAGCTCCTAGGGGTAAATACAGGCATCGTCACTAAACCTGCGAAACTGAATCCATTCGTAAAGATTTTTTCTTTTTTTCGTAAAAAAATGCACGTTGAGCTTTGTCAAGCTTGCGAAGAAGCTTTTGCATGCACTGTCCGATTTCGTTTCATATGTTACAGATATTCGTGATTCGCGCATTATGTGATGCATTTTTATGGACTTACCGAGTACACACCGTGTGAAAACGATCGAATCGCTCATTCTTTGAACTATTTCCATTTTGCTTTGTCTGACTTCAGAATTTCTCACCAGTGCACCGACATACTGCTTTACGGAAAAATACAAGCATCTGATCCGATCGACAGTCTTTCTCTCAGACTTTCATTGTCGTTTTGAGTTTAAATACAATTTTCACATCCTTACTAAACCGCGCTTTTTTGCTATGCTAACAAACAAACATAGCACAATATTTAGAATGTTGTCGAAATCCAAGAAGCCGTCACTCATTCTATCTCCGCCCCCTTCCCCCTCTCCCCCACAGTCGATGGAAGATCTGAGAGAGGAACCAGAGCTGGAAGAGCGCGAGGAGGAAGACGAGGAAGAAGAGGAGGAAGAGGAGACGGGACAGGAACAGCCGGAGCCAGGACTTGAGATGGATGAACTCAAGGATCAACCGCAACAACAGCAGGAGGAGGAGGAGGAGGAAGACGAGAGCAGCGATCAAAATGGCGAGCTTCTCGTTAGGCCGGTAAGAAACGCAGCAAGGAGAGCTTCCTTGACCGACGAGCTGGTGGATCCGGTCAACTCGCAGGGCCTTCTCGAGACGAACTTCTCCGTGACGGGTCTTAACGAAATCAGAACCGAGCGTATAATATCCAGAACAAATAACATCGCACCGAAAAGACCGATGAGTCTCGATCTGAGCGCGCCGATGAAGTTTAGAAAGTCACACGGAATAACCGCTCAGCCCGAGAAAGTCACTGCGAGGTTGATCGACCAGCGACTGCTGACGAAGTGAATTAATTCGCGAAGCACAGACGCCACATCGGCGTCGTGTACCACTCTCGAGATCTTAGGCTAAGATCGACTGACGACAATAATCGCTCAAAGTGGTCGCTCGTTTGTATCATGTAAATATCGGGACGGGAGGCGATCGTGTTGAAATGACAATCATTATACGCGCACACTTAAATTTTAGAAGAAAATATGACGCAGTCATTCCGTTATATCTAAAGTATGATGAGATTACGGAACAGCTTATGAACAGCTGCTGAAAGCCGCAAGCGACTGAATGTTTCATTTAAGCTTAGAAATTGGGCGAATTGGGCATCTGTTTAGTATAAAAAGTACATTCTGTAGTCGTTTAATACAATTCGTCGTTAGAAAGCAGAATATTGGCGCGTTCCATATTTCTAATGACTCAAAACTCGCGCGAAACCGTAGCATCAATCTCATCTGCCGCGTTCTTTTTACGTATTTAATTGTATAAATTCTTATTCGGCACGTTTTGGCTCACACAGTAGCCGTCTTCAGAGGGAGAGGAAAACGTTAGAACAATGTACTTGACTAAAATTAGCAAGTAATCGAGCAGCACCTGTTTATCTCATTACGAAGCACATCGCTAATATACTCCAGTATTGATTAGTTTTAAGTAAAGCCGCACGTATTTAGCTCAAGCAGAATGTTATTTTAAGACTCTAGAGTGCCTATAATAGTACTTAGTATTCGTCGTAATCACGGCAACGACAAAAGTAATGCATCGTAAATTTACAACGAGCATTTCGAGATAGGATCGCGCAAAGTCGTATTTTCGAGACAAGCCACGTATATCCGCAAGAGACACGTCGATTCACTACAGACTTCGTCTGTATATTTTTTACGACACCGTTGGTACTACACGCAATCGACACATTTAAAACAAAATCACTGCATATATTTATGTTATCAATCGCCGCCGGTGTACACCGCGAACGCACCGTTCAATCATCCGCAATTGTAAAATTATACCACAAAATATATGAATTTCATATATTGAGACGTGCAAAATTTATACATTCAATACGCAATGTACGGTTCGTTCCGTGTGTGCATCTGCGAGTTTGTTCAGTTTGATTTCGCTGCTTCGTGCAATTGTACAAAACAAGTGTGGCGTTTATGCGCTTTTTGGTGGCGATCAAGGTAATAGTTATGCGGAAAAATTCACGAAGCATTTAGAAAAATCGAATCACTCGGCGAATGTCGGCGCGATCCGGTCGTTAATACGAGACGCACCATACTTTCAGCACAGGAATTGGTCTAAGACGAGTATCGACGAGAGCGTTATACCGTTAGACTCCATTTTAAAACCCGATGAAACGAAAATGTCGGATATCGAACTATAAAGGTACGGATTATTGAAATAATAATTAAGCTCGACAAAAAAAAAAAGAAGAAGAATCGCATCTTGACTCGCCGCAGCCTCTCGTTTCTCTTACGATCTCTAATCGCGGGATGCAATTTATATTTACGGCATGATGCATCGGATGCGTTGGACGCATTAATGGCAATTAACAAGAAATCGCTTACGGCGATGCTATTATGAATCAAACGCGATCAGACGCACTGTATGCGGTATCACTGCATTTTCTCAAAACGTTTGATAATTAATTAAATATAAAACGACTTATCGATGCGCAGAGAAGATTACATTAATTACGTATTATTTTGTATTAATTATAATAATTGTACATTTCAAAGCTTCAATTTCGGACGATTATTATAATTGAATTGTGGCAATTATCATTTGATATTTTTAACGTTACGTTACGTTACGATTCAGAATAGCACAGCTGGCGATACGTGGTGTGTTCGAATGTACTTTTTGCACGCGACGGTGCATCCCGCGGGACGACGTTACTCTCTTCTGAAGTGACTTACTCGCCTAGACATTAAGCCATGAATCTCCAGACAGATTTTACATAGCATGTTATACGAAATGACCGAGGAAATATACGATTTTTTTCATCAACTTATGTTTGTTGCATCGCAAGTGACCGTCTCACGCCTCTCCCACGCTGCCAAGCTTCTTCTCGCAAAAGTTCGCCGCCTTTCTTTCATATAATAAAACCTTCTTACCTTAACCCGGGAATGGACACGGGCGATTTGATAGACTGTACTTTATATTCAAAGATATGATTTGCAAACTGTTAATGTGAGTGGAATATTTTCGCGCGACAAATCATTCTTCCCCGTCAAGGCATGCGCATGATTTGTCATGTAATAATTTACTATATTTCATTGATCGAGAGAAATTTATTGAATTCCTATAACGAGAATGATTAAAATATTCTTCTTTCTGACCCTTTATAAGAGAGAGTTAAAACAAATTTAAAATATCATCGCGTATTAATATTCTGCAAGTAAATGGTGCGAATTGTTGCACAAGCGGCGCAACCATTCCCGGGCTAATCTAATCTAATCGACTTAAGAATATTCAACGAGGACATCGTTGATGCCACGAGCAACATCGTTGTCACACGCACGCTTTGCACCAGAGAACCTGATTTTACAAAGCAAGCCTGTGCGAAGTGTTTAAGCGTGCTTGCCGCATATACTTACTAACCAGTGAATATAAAATGAATCTTCCGTTTCGCTTTGAATGCCTCGCCAATTACGGCGAGAGATTGGGAATTTTTAAATAATCCCTGTCACTGTCACTCTATTTAGACGCTTGCGGACGGAAACACTGGACGACAATCAAAGACGCAAGGAAACTTCTTCTTAGGTCAGTAATATGATGCCAGAATGAACGAAAAGAAGCATTATGATTGTTTGGCGTAAGAAATTCTATTGATGTATTTTCCAAGTAAGCAAGAAATCATTAATACAGCGTTATTAGTGTTATTTTATTACATTTTCAAATATGTAGATCTTAATGTCATCGTCGTCGTTAACAATATTTGATCCAAACATTAAAATTTACACACTGATGATTTTAATATTTAGTGAATGCTATATTATCGAGTAACAGTTTAAGAACATTCATGTTAAAGCGTTATGCCAAAATGTTTCCACATCAAATCAATGTTACAAAAGATTGATTTAATGTTACTTGCTTACTGGGTTACGCCACAACGTGTCACACGAATGTTAATTTGAAATTTATAATTTGATCGCAAAGATTTTGTAACTTTCAAATATGCGCAATTTCAACTTAAAACATACTTAATTACTATTTTGTTTTAGAACGAGACAAGCCGATGATCTTCAACCTGTTTCCCATCTTTCTGCCGAATGGCCAACGAACGTTCGGCAATCCTCTGAGCTATCTCGGTGGTCCGAGATTACCGCCGAGGAATAGATCCTCTATCGAATCGGTGCTGTCGCTGGATTGATCGTGAATCGTTCGCACTTTGCTCAGAGGGACCGCGCAAAAGTCCTCGGGGACAACGAGTCGCATTTCCCGATTGAGAACGAAAAGTCTCGAAGTGTTGAATGCCAAATCGATAAATTTCACTCAGGATATTTTACATGTACCACAACAGATTCATTTATTTAATATTAGAGGGATACATCTTTAAAAAGAGATGAGAAGAGACGTTTATTTAATACGTCTCTTTGCACTTAACACATTCGAAATTTTCCGGTTTCAATTCATCTCTCATTATTACAGAGTCATCCGTTTCTCGAAAGGCTCGTGTTAATATGTTCACGTAATCGTAATCGGCGAATTTCATCCGCGACAACGCATCCTAGTTATTAATGAGGATGACTTTAGGCGTGATAATGACCTCAAGCAAGATAAATAATAATTATGACAGACTCGATATTTTTTAGCAACAATAGACCTGTAAGAAGCTGTCGTGCTCAAGCGTCCCAATACAGTCTGATAAGGATTCTTGTAAAAATACTTCTTTGCAAGTACATGTAAATTAAAATTCCCTCTCTTCATATTATATCATAAAAACTTCAAGTTCATACATCTCTCACGTTCCTGAAAAATATATGACTTCCGTTTTCTCATCTTCTGGGAGAGTTTCACTAATCCCAAACAAGATTAACAGGACGATTATTAAGTAATGTGTGGACAGTGTTAGTTTCAAGCTAAGTCACGACGCCTATTCCTTATCCTAGTCAAGGTTTAATCGATTCTTTGTATAGCGTCGTGATAGATATGTATTGTGAGTTATCACGTATGACTGCCTTGTACATGCAATGCTGCTTATTATTGCTGCTGGGTGCGTTTACATTCAGATTTCTCTACATTTAAGAAACACACCTCTTCTCACTTACACCATCAATAGTACATAGCTTATTTCCTTTGTTATGAAAGAACAAAAGAAGTCTATTTGTAAATAAGTATGAACATACCAAACAGTCTTAATGCACATACAAGGATAGAATAGAAACAGGCTAATTGCTACGATGAAGAAAGAAAGCGCCTTGTGCACACAGGAGTGCGATATTTAATAATCGTACGAATAAAGATTTCTAACAAAACTCGCACACACAGCTTGTTTCTCATTTGAAGTAAAAACTGTCGGAAATACCTCGGCATGTGCGTGTGTGTGTGTGTGTGTGCTTACCTTGTCATGGAAATGATCAGACCGTCTTATCACGGATTTGATTTGAAGGCCAAGCCGTCGAAAGCCGACTTCCTAAGAAGCTATTGACAAGCAAAAATGTTATATTCAATAAGTCATGTATTATATGGTGAAGAAGAAACATTTGAAGGAATGTGTACAAAGATAAACAGATTGAGAAAATGTATTTTGATTTTTATCATGGCGGTGCAAAAGATCGTATGGAGTATTGAATTTTGGTATATGAGATAATTCGTTATTTTCTTTTTCAAATAGTCGTTCTATACTCACATCAGTCGTCGCGTAATTTTCTACTTCTACGTGTATGAAAGATTCTCAGGAGAGCGACAGATAATTGTTAAAATCGGAATTACACTTGCGAGAATTCCGAATGCGCGTGCGAACGAAATTCTATCCCGCGAACTTGTCGTTTTAACGATTCGAGAATCGCAATATTCCGCCCGACGTTGAGAAAAAGCCGATAACTTCAGCGAAGAAGCGGCGCATGCGCAACCAACACTATCGCATTCTACATGTCAGCGGTATCTATCGATATCTTAATTATCGTTAAAAAAACGCCAAGTGAAAGGTTAGAGAGGGAGAGAGTAACTTACGATAGCAGTATTATGCTTTACAATTATCCGGGACTTATCGAATCACATCAACTTAATGCTGTAATCCGAGTGAGTCTTTAGAGAATTATCGACGGATATCACGCTAAACATATGAACTGTTGCAGGTTGAGAATCCCAGGCACGCCATAAACAAGCAACATGGTCGACCATGGCTGGTAGCGTCTACTGACGAGATGCGTGTTGCTGTTTATAAATTAAATTAAGGATTACGCATTGGTAAGGCTGTAATCGCAATTTAATCGCACAATGGCGCAAGCGAAACTCAACGTAACAGCAGAGAAATCCAGCAGCAGTACCCTTAAGGAAAAGGACAAAGATGCTGAAGAGAAAGAAGGTAAGTTTTTATAATAAATCATGACCGTCCGATCACGTGTGCCTATGTGAATTATTGAGTAAAGTATATTTTTGAGAAAAAAAAGAGAAAAAACTGTTCACATATAATAAGATGCATTCATTTTTAGACAATAAATTCTGTTTATTTCAGTTCTAATCATGTACGTATAGAGGTTTGTTCATTGTCCATTTTAGGTCGTACCACTGTGCCAGAATGTGCGGTATGTCTACAGCCTTGCATTCATCCAGCAAGATTACCCTGTAGTCATATATATTGCTATCTGTGTGTAAAAGGTGTTGCAAATCAAAGTAAACGCTGTCCGATGTGCCGTCAAGAGATTCCACCAGATTTCCTTGAGAGGCCTCAGTTAGTAGAAGTCGAAGAAACACAAAAAGAGACAGAACACTCAGAGGAAGAGTATCAGTGGTTTTATGAAGGTCGAAATGGTAAAGTAAACATTAACTGATAATCATATTTTATAATTAGCATTTAAAATCCATGATTATCGTTTGAAATGCTTTCATATTTAAAATATCTCTTTTCAAATAATTCAACTTTACAAATTAAGTTTACAAAGATTTCATCCGATATATATATGCACATGCATATGTTTTCCATGAGCAATAACTCGCAGCGTCTTTAAAAAACATACATGGATGCACACATCAGTTGATATCCTACCCCTTCTTAGGTTGGTGGAAATATGATCCAAGGACAAACAAAGATCTGGAGACTATTTACAAACTAGGGGATGCACAATGTGAACTTTTGATCTGTGGCATGCTTTATGTAATTGACTTTGAGAACAAATGTCAATATAGAAAGAATAATCCACGTTACAAACGCAGTATCAAACGCGATAACAAAGATGCTCCGTGCAAGGGTGTCTCGGGTGTATCGTAATCGAAAAACTGAGCTACTAATGAAATGAAAATATTTGTGATGAAAAAACTAAATTGATTATTGATTATGCTGTGTTGAGTGTCATAAATATATCTATCAGTGATCAGTGTAAAGATGGTATCGTAACAATTAAAACTGTAATAAAGCATCCCATAAGTAAGGACACATTATTTATTTGTAGATGCGTGAGAGAAATATTTATGTAGTAAAAAGTGCCTTATGTGTAAAAAGGCTTGAATGAAGTCATTACTGATGGAATAACTGCTATAATATAATGTATTACATAAATAAGATTGTTTAATATAGAAAAGTATGCATATATATATTCTTCACATAATAAAATTATAATCTGCATCTAAAGGAATCTTTTCTATATCTCCCGACTATGGTTTTATTATTTATTATATTTTTTAATTCGTTCGCACGAATAAGGGACATGCCTGATCTGCCTGATTTCCGCCACAAAATGGAATATGTAACTTTTAAACGAATTCTTGCAGGTTGGTGGCAATACGACGAGCGAACGAGTATCGAATTAGAAACAGCATATAAGCAGGGCAGGAGGAATTGCGAGCTGCTAATTGCAGGATTTCTTTACATCGCCGATTTTGGCTCTATGCTACAGTTACGTAGAAATGATCCTTCTAGACGAAGAAGAATTAAAAGAGATCTATACAATGTTCCAAAGAAAGGAGTTGCCGGATTACGGCTTAACATGCAGGACGAGGAGATTATAAGAGAAATAAGGGGCGCGGAACGTCCAGCTAGTCCTGCTAGTGATAGTATGGGTACGAAGTGATATAATAATAAAATCACTATAATTATTAAAACCGTCATCACACATACAGGATGTCTCGGTATAAAGAGAACCTTAAATATCTCCCTTGTTTTTAATGATATGAGAAACGTTTGGAGCACAATTTGAATGGTTTTGAAGGAAGAATATTTGTGGGAGAACTTTTTTTTAACGATGCGGTAATATATCTTTTTAATGATGTGTATATATATAGTAAACATATTGAAAATTCCTCATATTCTCATTAAAAACGAAGGAGATATTTTGGTGTTCTCCTTATGCTGAGCATATGTATGTGTGAATGTGCGTCATTATTATTGAAATTCATTGTGACTAAATATAAGGATCGTAATTATACGTTTTTTTTCTCAAATATAAAGAATTTTTAATTTACAGGTACAGGAGATGGAACAAATACTCCGATACCACCTAGCAATACACCGCAGACACCTGCGGGTGGGACAGCGAGCGGTGATGCTACACCTCTGAACGATAGGATAGATCAAAGATCGGAATCCTTGCATCAAGTTCTGGAGCAAATGCGCTCACTTGTTCTAAGAGAGCATTTATTTCTGAGCAGTGATAACGAGGAAGATACGGAGGATGTAGCTATTCCGGATCACGCTGCTCTCTCATAGCAAGCTACGAACAGCATTAAAAGCATATTTGTCAGAGACAGTGGTAATTGGTGTTTATGGAATCTCCGTCTCTTGTTCTCAAACTCTTAATCGTGATGTTACAAGCGTTCAGCTCAACAAGATAATATAATACATGCATATACGCGATATTACGTTTGCTACGTGAGCGCGACAATGTACAAACTTTATTGATCTAGCGAACAGCATTGCTCAACTACAAAACGTACGAGAATTATATTGTATTACGCTCTCATCTGATATGTACAATCAAATGTTAGAAATTAGGATTAGGGCCAATAAGAACCGAGCACGGTTGTTAAATGCGGATATATCTTGAATTTGGGAGGATGAATATGTTGGACAGCGTGATGACAGCGCACGCGCCGACATTCCGTCAGACTTTCAACGTACACGGGGAATCTCCCATTCCGTCGAATCGATAATTTTTTTTAGAGTTAAAAAATCCCTTTTTCTAAGTATACTCACTATGAAATTAATCAATGCATTTTAATTGATTCCCTAGAATGTTGCGAAAAAAATGCGGCCTCTGGAATGTCGTCGTGTGCGCCGTCTCACACTGTCAAACATATTTATCCTCTCAAATATATTCGCACTTAACAACCGTGCTTGGCTCTTATTGGCTTATTTTAATTTCTAACATTCGATTGTATGAGAATTTATGTACAATTAAGTCTTTCAACCCGTTAATTTTATTCAATAAGTAATCTTATCCTGATTTTAATAATCCTATATTGTACTTGACAAGTTTGATAAGTCAGAATGAATATTGTTGTCGTGACAACAGTGAGCGAGCGTTTCCTCCGCGATTTGCGGAGATAGATATAATATGTATCCCACAAAAAAATTAGTTGCTGGAAAATAATTAATGTACTTAAGACCTCGACTCGTTTTGAGAACTATTATGTTACGTAGCAATAATATATATCTCGTACAAAAGGAAAAAAAAGGTAAAATAAGATTGGAGTACTACTACAGTTGTTCAAAGACATATTAAAGTTTCTAATGAAAATGTGTTCATGCCACAAAGGTGCATAGAGAAGAGTATAATGAAAGAAAAATGAAAACATTTATTCTTATGACAAGATCGAGTGCAATACGTGATAATCAATAATTACTGATTTCAAGTGAACTCTGTAATTCCCGATGTTCAGAATAACTATGAAGTCTTCGTCTTTCTTGTATTGCACATAGAAATAAAAGAAACGTCGTCGACAGCCAATGCAGCTTTGTTCTACTATCATCCTTGAAATAGCAAGGCAGACCCAATGGTAAATATATCTGTATGTTCAAACATATATATTATCAAAAACAAACGAAAATCAAGTAAAAAGCAATTATATTTAACCTAAATAATATCTAAAATATTTTTTTTTAACGTTTAATCTTGTGTGATCTTTTGTTTCACATAACATATAAATATGCCATAAATAAAATAGAATTTAGCAATGATTTCAATACGCGCGTCTTTCTTCAGTTTTTATAATAAATTTTGATACACAAGATAAGTTAGAATAAATGTAATACATTGTAAAAAACGAGATAAAGCAACTCTTTTTCTTTCTTAACGATAATTATAATTTTCTTTCAAAGAATATCGCTAGAATTTGTTAAGTTTTAACAAAATAGATTCTATTACGTGATGTAGAAGAGTAAATAATTAACATATTTTGCTTATCGACACGAGAAGATAAATTACAACGAGTAATTCGTGATAACGTTATGATTCGTCTTGAATAGCATTTGAAGTGAGCGCGCTTTTGATATGCACGCGGATGAGTCTAATTGAAGATGAGAAAGGAACCTTTCCGTTGAACAAAGGACCAGCGTCGAAAGAAAGTACGATTTTTGAAGCGCGACACAAGTGCGGAAGATCAGTGTCGTTAACGGCGATAAACGGTGAAAGAGCTCAAGGGAAGGACTACAGGAGTGAAAAAATATGTCGAGTTTCAGGTACAACGATGTCGTCTAAAACCTATTTGAAACGTCTTTACGTCTCGTTCACTCTTACGACGATGCTTTCGCGGCATTAGAAATGTTTCGCACGCGTCAATTCGCGTTCGTGTATTGTACACAAACATTTTCGGAATAGGGGGTCAATGAGAAGGACAAGAAGTATTACCGTCAGCTCAATAACCGATAAACGTGATTTTCCCTGAGAAACACGAAACGAGCGACAAGTGCATTCGCGAATTAAGAAAGGCGAGAGAGAGAGAGAGAGAGAGACTCGAATCGCGATTACGTTAAGATATTATAGTGGAAAGGAATGCCGGGCATGGAATCGCGCTAATTGTACGTTATTCGCAGCTTATCGGTTCAATATGGTGATAATTTAACCGCTACGTTATTTCCGTGTTCCCGTAAAACCTAGATGGTGACTTCTCTCTCAGCTAATGCTTTTAAAGACAACAGTACATCTGCGAGGATCCGCAAACTTCGAGTTTACAAACGCTTCTTTCGTGTGTTACAGGTCAACGAAGAAGATCGAAAGATAGGAAAAAGGGGCAGAGTAATCGTCGCCGTAGGAGAAGAAAACAGGATCGTTCGAAGGACGCGACCAAGAGAAAATCAGAATGTCTCATCATAGAGATGATGTGCAGTCATATACTACCGAAACCTTCATCTTCATCACTCATGTCGAGGCCGACCGGGAATACTTGAAGATCTGGGGTCAGCAAGACATGCACGGTGTAACTTCTATGGAACGTTCCATTTATCCCTTTGTCGGGCAATTCTCACAAGGTTACGGTCGTCCTTCAAAGTCTAATCCACCGATCACTGGTGCCTTGTGCTGTGGCAAATTTAAAAATGATGGCTATTATCGGGCAAAGATACTTGACGTGCGTCCTGAAGGCATAGTCGTACACTTTATTGATTATGGCAATACAGAAATTCTGCCACCGAAGGATATTCATTTGTTGAGTGGTATACCTGGGTCAGAATCGCTGCAATCTTATCCAGCAATGGCAACTGATTTTATATTGCTTAAAGTATTACCTATAAATGGTATTTGGGAAAATAGAGTAATAGAGACAATCAAGAATATCTTATGTTACAATGAATATAGAGCTCTAGTCAGTAACGTAGCGAATAACCGTTGCTTGATGAAACTGTGGTACAATAACGAAGACTTGAGCGATCTACTGGTCAGACGACATTTGGCTTTACCATCTAATATGCAGGATACATGCAGGTATTTTAGTCTGCTGTTTCTTTGAAATTTAATAATATATGCGTCTTTCTTGAAACCTTTATCTTACAGATATTAATTTCATATTAACACGCATAACTTCTTGTTTAGGATCAAGTCTTCTTACCAGCAATCAGAAATTTTACAAGCACCACCAATGTATCAGCAACAAAATGAAGGCAGCATGAGTAATTTTGTGCCGATGCCAATGATGCAGAATGCAAACGTGAATCAGAATGTGCAAGGAATGTACTGTAGTAAGGCTTCTTCTCCCGGTATAAATCAACACAAGTACATCGTTCCTCAAATGTCGCCACCTCAAGTTCAAGAAGCACTTGTGTTCAAGTCTCGAGTCTTGGCTGTAGGCAGCATACACGATGTGTTGGTATCATGCGTGGAAGATGGTCCGCAGAAATTTTCCGTACAAGTTCAAAGTACGACAGATATACTGAGCCATCTTATGAAGGAGATAAATAACCGTCCGAAGAAACCGTTGCAAGAACCGCCATTGCCAGGATCAGTTTGTCTCGGGTACACAAGGGAGGGCAGAGTGCTGTGCAGAGCAGTTGTGATGTGCGTGATGGAACACAAATGCAAGCTATATTACGTCGATTTCGGCCACACGGAGGTCTTACCGTACACGGACATCTTTCAATTACCGCCCGAATTTATCAACCCCAAAGTTCTTTCCATTAGATTTACATTGAGCGGCCTAAAGGAACTGAACATCACGCAAGAGATGAAAGACTACTTTAAAGAATTAGTGTCGAGGAAGTTGCTCTGTCTACAAGTCCGTCCACCGGAAGGACCGCCCTTGATTCAATACGGTGATCTTTATGATAACGGTGTTAATATAAAGGATATACTAAAGAAAGCATTCCCAGTACCAGCTACAGTGCCAATGATGTATTCTTATCCGCAATTACAACGATTGTCGAAGGACGCTCAGGAAGTTGTCTATGTCTCTTTCGTCGAGTCTTGTAAGAAGTTTTTCGTGCAGCTTGACATTGGAGCAAAGTCCCTCGAATCAATAATGATCGGCCTGGCACAGTATGCTAAAACCGCATCTGCTTTCAACGTGGCACAATTAAAAGTGGGATTACCCTGCGCCGCTTTGTACGACTCGGAATGGTAAATTTTTAAATAACGTTTTTTTTTTCCATTGTTATTCCAAATGAAGTAATAACCTTGTTGTATTTTTCTCATTTGTTCTCATAGGTATCGTGCTCAAATTCTTAGCGTTAATGGGGACAAAGTCAAGGTCGTATACGTTGACTATGGAAACGAGGAGACATTGTCCATAATGTCTCTACGCACGATCCATGATGATTTAGTGACGAAACTACCGGCACAAGCTATAAAGTGTGCATTGAATGGCTATGAGGTACTTTCACCGGACCAAGAAGTCACCAACCATTTTGAAAGATTGACGCTCGAGAAACGTTTTTACATGAAAGTGGTCGCTTCGCAGCCTAACAGTGTATTGGTCGATTTATTTGAGTTCGAAACGATGAGGAGCGTTCACCCCCAGCTATTGAACAATTTATTCTGCGACAAGACGGCAGAAAATTCGACAAGTTCGCAAAATGGAGAAATTCAACATTCTACGAAGACAACGAACTTGCTGCACGATATTCAGAGGTAACAAATATTGTAATCTGATATCGTTACTATTTGCAAATAATGTAATAATGTAAGACAAGTGTAGTCTCTTATAACAATCCATTTGTAACATTTGTATGATGACTTAATGTAGGTGCAATTTATTGCATCACAGGTCTGGTACGAATGTTCAAGCAAATTTGGCTCACCGACAGAGATTAAAACTGAAAAATATTAACGTCGCACGGTAAATGAATAGAAGGATAGAGGAATGCTTTTCTAGCTTTTTAGTATAAATCAATTGAAAATAACTTGTAATATAAATGTATTAATTTGTAATCTATATTTAAATATAATTATATTTTTCACCGTGCACACATGTAGTATATATATATTTGATGAATGTTGGTTTAGGAAGAAATGTTTTTTTTTTTTTTCTTTTTAAGCAATCGATATAATATTTCATTGTCACAAAGTCCTGTTGTATATAAGATTTTTAGATTGCACAGGGGTTATTTGTTTTTATGCTGAAAATTCAGGATAAATATATCCTAGTTTTCAACATACATACATTCACGATTTATTCTTTCTTTGCATGCGTATATATTTTGTAAATGAATACTCAATCTTTTGTTGAATAATTGTTCCTAATATTACTACGTCATAACTCTTCTATGATATTATTCGAAACAACATTGCTTTAACACACTCTTCCTTTTACAGCGAAGACAAAGACAAGTGTAACAAGAGAAATAATGCAGATGCTTGGAATCGCAATCAGAACGCCAAATTCTCTCAAGAGAGCAGAGCGAAATCCTGGAAAGAGAAACAGACTGTAAACGGTGAATGGTCTCCAGAGAAGCAATACGACAACAGGCGTGAGCGAACTTCTCATTACCAGCGTGATAATCCGCAGAACGATCGTTTTTCTACGAGAGATGAGACCGGAAACGGTAGATATGGAAGATCATATAACAAATATGATAAGGGTGAAATGGATACGCCTAACAGAAGCGGCGGTAGAGAAGGCTTTCGAGGTGATAGGAACAGATTTCCTATGAACGAGTCAAGGTTCAGTCGCAACAATTCTACCGATAAAGTATTGAGTGATAAGGATTCCGATACTTCATCCAAGAGTAACGATAATCGTGGGAAAGGCGCTTTTAATCGTAACAATCGAGGAGAAAAGCGCGAAAACGGGGTATTTAACAGAGCGCAAACGGCCAAGTGGAACAACGACAGAAACAACGACAGGTCTGGCTATAATAGAAGTGGAAGAGTCAACGGTAACGTTCTTGAACGTATATGCAAGAAACTTATTTGCTCCAAATATATTTTAATCTCATGGATTTTGTTACAAATATAGGTGACCACAACATGGGGCGTAATAATTCCCAAATAAATAAAGAGAATGATACAAATGTCTCGCATGACAGAGTAATAAGAAATTAATAATAATTATTATCATCAACCATATTTACACGTTATTCTAGCGCATTATACGCCTATATTATCGTTTACAGGTAAACCGCGAATCTTTGGATATAACGAATGCTAATACAGAAGTACAGAGCAAAGTTGTAGCGAATAAAGGATCTCAATTTGCGTCGATGAGTATTGCCTCAGGCACTGTGAAGAATTGTGAAATAGTTTTTATTAATGGTCCGTCAGATTTCTTCATCCAATTAAATCCGGAATATTTGGAATTAGAGCCAATTATGAACAGCATTGCCGAAACTTACGAGGGTGGTGGAGAAACGATGCAAGTTTTTGAAGCAAAATGTGACGATACGTGCTGCGTCGCTCAATACGAGGAGGATCTTAAGTGGTACAGAGCGGTGATCAAGTCTGTGGAAGGCAATAATGCGACTGTGAAGTTCATCGATTATGGCAATACCGAGTCAGTTGATTTCACGAAAATCAAAGTTATTCGAGAAGAATTTCTGAAACTACCGATGCAGGCGGTACAATGTAGATTGCTCGGATTGACGGATACGGGCGACAGAGATGCGGAGTATGCAACTTTCGTGGAAAAGATTGAAGGTAAATCGTTGGAAGTCGAATTTGTCACCGAAGAAGAAAGCGGGGTATACGAAGTACTGCTACGCGAAGTAGTCGACGGTGTCTCAAGTATTAATTATATAAATGAAGAATTTTGCACGGATTTAACAAAGGCGAAAGAAATAGCGTTGAATAAAGGAGTGATACCTGCTGGTACGAACGTCGTACATTCGTCAGCTGCTCCTCCCGATTATGCTCCTTTCAATTTGAAATGGGAAACTGCTCTATACGAGCCTGAATCCAAACATGATGTAATTATTACGTGGTTTATAAATCCTAATAAGTTTTACTGCCAAACGTTGACCGAGGAATTCAAGAAGATGATGAACGAGATTCAAAAGTCATACGCTGGCAGAGAACCTATAAAGCATAAATTAGAGGTATTTATTGCTTTTACATGAAATTAGCAATACATAGTGCAGAAATAAATGTAATCGTTATATGCACAGGTTGGTTCACCGGTCATCGCGATATTTTCCGAAGATAGAGCCCTTTATCGAGCGGAAGTTGTAAACAATAATAATACACACAAGGGATACATAGTCCAGTATATAGATTTTGGAAATTGTGCGACCGTAAATCAGAATAATATCTATCCCGTAGAAAAGAAGTTTATGCAATTACCTAGACTAGCAGCACAATGCACCTTGAAGGACATTGTACCTAGTAGTAAGAATTTAAACTGGTCCGAAGTGGATAACGATGCTCTCGATAACTGTTTCAACGGTGATAAGTACGAGTGTACTTTCCATAATCTTAACGGTGATCAGTACACGATTTCGTTGAGACACAATGGACGAGACGTAGGTGATATATTGGTGCAGAAAAATCTTGCGGCCTTTACCGAAAAACTTCAGCCAACAAAAACTTCAGCTAAAGTAACCAGTGGTAAGAATTGTTTAATAATATGTTATTACGGTAATTACGGCCGAAATTATAGATGGGTAGGTATCTACGTAGGTGAAAAATGCGAAAATTATATATTTTTATGTTTTATTTTATCTGCTTCAGAAGCAGCTAATATAGAGGTAACGGCGCCCAGTGAAGTAGAAAGAGTAGACATAAGTCTCTTGAGTGGCCAAACGCTTAAAATGAAAGTCTCCGGTGTAGAAAGCACAACTCAGTTTCACGTCCAGCTTCCGTCAGCCGCGAAATGTGACCGCATCATCAATGAATATATGGCAGACAAGAACGCAGAGGTATTACCTAGCATAAGCGCACTCTTACAGCTAGTTGCGATCATACGCTGTCATGTAAAATACTTTATTAACAAACATTATAGAGAGAATTGATAGAAAAACATTCCCTAATAGAGATGAACTAATGGCTCGTCTTCACAGCAAGTTCTGTAACTGTTCTATCTAGTACCGTTATTTAATAATTATAACAGATATCGTTCGATCAATCTTTCGATTCGAGCAAGTTTAGAATTACTGCATAGAATTTCCTCAAATATTTGTCGTTTAATATTAGATTACGGTGATGGATAAATGACCGTTTAAATTTTTATATAGAAATTTTGATACATTTGGAATAACGTACAAGCTAACATAAGAATTTGACACGTAACAAGATTCATAATATAATTCCGTTGTTAATTGAGAATCATATTCTTCCAGAGTTCTAACAATATTTAATTTTTATCCTATGTCTTAATCTCATTGCACGGTATTGTATGGTATTAACCGCTATATAATTGATTGATATAACATTGCCCTCATAAATGTTCCATCGTAATATTCGAATTTCCCGAAATAACAGTAACATAATATTTAAATATTTTATGCCGTTGCCAGATTTTTATGCCATCCTGCCATTCTCATCTATACTGATCGAAAAATCATTATATTTATCAAAGAAAAAAAAAACTTGAAATTTGGACGACTACTTCAGAATTTAAAGTCGACTACCTCACATTGTATACTCTAGATTAATGTATATGTATATAGATATGCAATGTTACATATACTATGCAACATAGATTGATTGAGAAAACTTTTATATAATAATATAAATATTCATAAGTAGAATAACAATATTGGAAACGTAATATTGGGATTAGTAGTGAAATAAGATAGATACCGCTGGAACGAAATGTAGAATGGCAAGGAGAGAAACGACGCATCGCTAAATCAGCCTAATGTACGGTTAGCCGCATGAATTTAAACGAATTGTAAGGAGAAGTGTGATATAATATCAGGTGATGCCACGACTGTCAAGCCGCGAGATGCGTCTTGGCGCGGGTTGTCTAGTCAATGCAAATGGAACATGGAGGCGAGCGGTAGTGATTAACTGTTCGCGCCTCGTCGGATCATTTGACGTAAAGCTCATTGATACCGGGGCGTACGATGAAATCCTGGACGATGTGAGTTTAGTTAGATATTACGAAGACCTTTACCATCAGTCCTATTGAAACCCGTTCAATTGATCAAGATGCAAGTTGATACCATACATCGTGCGATAGCATGAGATTATGACACGCTAATCAGAAACTCTTGACATTCACTACTCGTTATCTTTAATCACAACGATGTCCAGGCACTGGCTCTACCCGGAGCGCTCGCGGTCATGCAAAAGCAAGCGTTAGAGTGCTCTCTGCGGGATGTCGGTCCATCATCGCCCGACGCAGATAAACAGCTGAGGGAACTGATTGAAGGGAAGGAAGTGCTCGTTTTCGTGACGGAAGTCAACGATAGCAGGTTCGTAAACATCATTCTGCATTTCCAGGTGTACTTCCTTTCAGTTTAAATACCATTTTTTCCCCATTTTTCCTCGGAAAGAAACAATCCGTCGATAAATGGAAACAGCCTGCATTTTCCCCTCTATTAAATTAAAAGCATTGATTCCTGCTTTTACAGACTTATCGTAAAGTTGTACGACCTGAGTGGCAAGGGTATAATGAACGATGGAGTAATCCCGACCGTGTGCCCTATGCCTATACTCAGTTCCACCCACAAAGTGTCCGTGTCGTGTGCTGCGGTACTGCAGAATCATTCTGTCCGTATCTGGATGCAATTGCACTCCGACTATGAGACCGAAACCAAACTGTTGACGGATCTCCATCGATGCTACTCCAATTCCGCAGGAGAGAGGCTGAAACCAGAAATGCATCTGCTGTGCGCGGTGAAAGGCGCGGACGACCGTTGGTACAGAGCGAAGATCACGAACCTCACGGAAACGACGGCCTACGTCAATTACATCGACTACGGCAACACGGAGGAGGTCGCGTTCGAGTTTATCATGGCCTTGGAACCGCAGTTTTACGAACCCCACCAACTGGCGACGGTCGCGACGTTATCCGTCGCTCTAACGGGCACTGAAACTGAGCAAATAAACATACTGCAGGCTCACTTAATAGATAAAGAATTCACGGCTGTTTTCTACAACGTGCACAACGACTGGGTCGTCGAGCTGATCGAGGACGGTGAAAAGCTCAGCGATAGATTCCGTTCGTTGAATCTGACAAAAAAGGAGGAGGAAGAGGTGGCTTCTTCGTTGTCCCAGGAGTCGCCAACTGTTGAGCGGTTCGATGCGTGCGTGTCCCACGTTGATTCTCCGAATCAATTCTGGTTGCAACGGACGGACAAGAACGCGGCCCTCAACGAGGGTCAGGAGAAACTTCAGCGGGAAGTTTTCAATTTCCCAGCGATAGACGGTATACCGGAAGAGGGCACCTGGTGTGTCGCCATTTACTCGTTCGACGATAACTGGTATCGCGCCGAGGTGTTGGACGCGGACGAGGGCATCACGACGGTCCGATTCATCGACTATGGCAACACCGACGTCATCGACAAGCCCGGCCGCATTCGACAGATGCCGGACACCTGGAAGAATATAGAACGGTATGCGTTCAAGTGTAGGCTCGATGTCATTCCCGTAGGTATCATGGAGGATTGGGATCAAGTAACCTGCAACAGATACGGCGACTTGGTGATGTCAGTCGACAGTCTTCAGGCTGTAATAGTGGCGGACACTGTGCCGAAACGCGTCGACCTGTTCTTAAACGGCAAGAGTGTCAGTGAGATATTGGTCGAAGAGAAATTTGCCGTTATGGTTAGCTCCGAGGAGGCCGAACTCGCGGACGAGGAGATAGTCGACGTCGAACTGGACCCGCATTCCGCCTTCGTGTGCCACATCGCCAATTCGCCGAGTGAATTCTGGGTGCAGGAGGAAAAATCGGTCGCCGATCTGGAAGTGATGACCGACCGATTCATGGTGGCGGATATGTTCCCGAGGATCGACTTCCCGACGGAGGGCTTGCTGTGCGTCGCCAAGTATCCCGACGACTCGCAGTGGTACAGAGCGCGCGTGCTGTCTCACAGCGACAATGACGGCACCCGGGTTATATTCGTAGACTATGGGAATTCGTCCATATCCACCGAGATCCGCGCTCTTCCGGAGGACTTGGCGGACGTGCCGCCTCTGTCGCGAAAATGCTGCCTAGAGCTACCGCCGCGCGTAAAAGAGTGGTCGGAGGAAGCTTGCAATAAGTTCAGCGAATTAGCCGCGGAAGGTGCGACGATTTTCATCTTGGACGTGCTGAAGGAGCAAGAGACGTCGACGGTGAAGCTGACGTTGGACGACCAGAACGTGGCCGACATCTTGGCGAGTTTGTGCGAGCAGCATTCGCCGCCAGTGATCGAGGAGAGACTGCCGCCGCTCGGCGAGGAGAACTCGCCGAACGTGGTGGTCAGTCACATCAACAGCCCGGACGAGTTCTGGGTCCAGGCGGAGAGCAGTATAAGCGAACTGGAGGTGATGTCGGATCGCTTACGAGACGCGCAGAGTTTTCTCACCTTGACTACCTTCGATGTCGGCACGGTTTGCGCCGCCGTGTATCCCGAAGACGAGTATTGGTACAGAGCAAAGATACTTGCGCGCCGCGAAAAAGGCGCGGAGGTCCTTTACATAGACTACGGCAATTCTGCGCTCACGGAGGAGCTGAGAGTGTTGCCACAGGATATTGTCGATATTCCCATTCTGTCGAAACGATGCGCCCTGGAGAAACCGCATCGCATAACTGTATGGAGCGAGCAAGCTTGCGACAAGTTCAAGGAACTCGCCGCTGAAGGGGCCACGATGTTCCAGTTCGAGACTTTCGACGAGAACGATCCGATGCGCGTTCGATTGAGCTTGAATGGAACGAGTGTCGTTGAGCTTCTGCAATCCGAGGACATCCCGCAGAAAGCGACGACCGAGAATGTTGCTTCCGCTACAGAGGGACGAGTCGCTGACGAAACAGTCTTTCAGGAGGAAAATTGTCCGAATGAAGAGATTTCAGATTTCGGTAAGACAACTGAACAAAACCCAACACCTCGTCAGATTACTCCCGATATTAACCTACCTTCTATTAATCGGACGGAGCAGAAGTTAGACAATTTAATTGACGACAAAGTGATTGATAAATCGTTTGGTGATGTAGGTGAGGAATTAGTCCAGGAGCACATGGTAAGTTATGAGAAAATTGCGGAGCTCAACGAAGTTGAAGAATCTGTGGCGCCTGAATATACATTAGAGGTGAGCGACGAGGTGCCAGGAGATACTACGCACGCAACATATCTTAAAGAACCCACGTCCATTGTAACAGAACTTAGTGTTGACGATATAATTGGAAATATGGTAAGGGACACAACTGAGGATTCAGATACGCAAGAAATCGCTGGCGCAAGCTCGCCAGTTGAGCCTCCTCAATCTGTCGTTCAAAATGACGTTAATGAGCAGCAGCAAGAGCTTGTTACTCAATCTATAAGTACAAACGAGCCATTAGATTCATCGGACGCCAATAAAGAACAGCTGCGGTATGTCGTCACTCAAGATGTCAACGAAGAGTTGCTTTCTCAAGTACAAGATGTAAACGAATCTGCGTCGCCTGAGCCAGCAATTGAAATGACACGAGGGGACGATGTTACCGAGGATACAGACTCGAAGGGGATTCTATCGGTGATCAACGAAACGCAGAATACCGTGAAATTTGACGCCGATCAAATCGAGGAAGAAAAAACCGAAGCGCAGCCTAATATAAATGAGCCTTCAGAACGTCAAGTTCTGGATACATTTGCCGATACTAAAATTTGGGGTTTGCCGGAAAAATCTATAAATCTTACCAAGGAATTTCAAAAGCAAAGTCCGGCCGAAAGTGAGTCTTCTGCACACAGAAGCGCGGACAGTTTACAACCCACATTAAAGAGCGCAAGTACAGACGCTTCTTTGAAATCCACGGACGCGGTGGTGACGCCACTACCGTCCGTCGTAATCAAGACTGATCCGATCGAGCAGCGTAAGTTGAGTTCGAGAAGACGATCCGAGGACAAGATAGTACCCGGGTGTATCTCCAGGAGTGAGTCACCGGAAGCGGCAGCGTATTCTCTCACAACAAAGATGGAGAAGCCAGCAGCTATAATAAACACTTTGCAACCGGTAGCCGACTCCGCAAAAGAGGAAGACGACGACGAGATACTTACCGTTTCTGTAGAAAACAACATTCCTTAATGTGGTATAGTATATATATATATATATATATGTGTGTGTGTATATTGCAAATTTACGTAAATTTACGTAAATATATGTAAATTTGCAATACGAACGAAAATGTGTCACTTTGATAATCGGGAAGCGTTTCTCACGTTTTTTTCAAGTTATCTCAATTTCACGTTTCTTTCTTTTACGTTGCACATGAAGATATATTTATACGCGAGAATATAAGATGGTTCTGTTTTTTCTTTTTCTTCTATTTACGGATATAGGTAAGTCGCGTTACTTTTGAATATAAGTTGCTACAACAATGTACACCGATGCCATCAGATATTTGACCAAAGATTAATTCGCCTGGCTGACGAACCGTCATTTACGTTGTTCTTACGTTACAAGATAATACTTGCTAATGATATCGAGAAACCGTTCTCCTATAATTCTTACTCTTAAGTTGCCATTTAACAATAAATATTTCAAGTATCGCCTTTGATATCGCCATTTTTTTTTTTTTTCAGATAAACTTTCAAGTAAGAGCTATTATATTTGAAGAATTTCTTTGCAAATTATATCGGTGATATACACAGATTTACTAATTACTTTTCATTTTGACTAAATAAATTTGAAACAGTAAAGCGAAATTTTACTTATATGACACATAATAATCATTATATAACATAACGGCGATAGTTTTTAATGTTAATTCTTAACGAATAGAAAATAGTACAATTACTAATTACTTTTTGTTTATGGCGAATACGCGACTATGAACAACAGAACACATACACAGATGGTTGTATTGTGTTGTACTGTTGTATTATATTCATTGTGGAATTAAGTAAAAAAAAAAAAGAAAAAAACACTATAGAAAAAAATGGAAACACACGACTGTATTCGCGGTCAAGCATTGTAATAAAAGGATAACACCGACAGTCGACAGGCTGCATTTTGTATCTCCACCGTATTATTTCCACATTGAAATAATCTAGTAGTTATATATGCATATATTTAAACTATGAATTCATTATTATATCGTAAACCGTGTAATAATATAACAATCATTTAGTTCTTTCTACAGTCAGTTATATATTAACAGCATTATGATTATAATGGATAACGGGAACTGTATAAATGTTTGTATGCCGTTAAAATATATTTTCTAATAAACCTTTCGAAAACATCTGTTGAACACTGAATTATGTATGAATTATATAAATGCATAATTATATTTTCAACAATTTTACCTTTACTTTCTCGCGTGATCTACAATGGTTTTAACCTTGTTTATATTTACAGCCTTTAATTCCAGATCCCATCTTTACTGTTAGTATATATTTAAATTAAATCTTTATAATAATTTTCTTTTAATTGCTCAAGACAATCGATATTTCTCTGTAATTATTTTGCCAACTTTTCGTTGTTCTGTATAACTTCCAACTCCAAGGCAGTTTTCTTCCGAAACTTGGTTCTTTTAATGCGACTTTTGTATTCTGTGTTAAAGATTCAAGATAAAAAATTAACAGTTATATTAACAGTTAATATTGGCAAACATGTATTCCCAATAGAAATGTCAATATTATATTCTTATTTGAAATCTTCCACATTAAGATATGAATCTTCAACTTCTCAGTAATCAGTGTTGCGAATGTAAATTTAGCTTTTGGCATATATCAATAGTAATTTTCACAAAGAAAATTTTTTAGCAGATCTTAACAGATGCTTTTCGATATTTTAGACGCGAGACGTTACTCTTTTGCCTGGCGATTTTTAGGTTCCTCTTCATGCTCTTGTTGTAATTATTTTGTCTTTCCTCAGCCATGATCTCGCGCGCAAGTGCGATTTCGTCCTCCAGATACCATCGCAAAGGACCTCGACATCTCTTGCAACGTCCTAGATAATCTACGCCTTTCACTTCTAAAATTCTACGAAGTTTAATGGAATACGGTGGCCGACTGACGTCGGCAATTCGAAACTTCACACCGGGGCCGCCGCCGTTCACGATCACATCAGTTAAAGATGATACGAAGGGCGGATTTTGCATATCATAGTATTTATCGGGATCCTGATCCTTTTCCTCGCAACAGAATCCATACGGCTTTTGCGCAACGAGCTGTAAACGCGATGGTTTTGTGAGTGGTCGCTTTGGCGTAGCTTTTTTCATATTGTCACGATTTGTTTAATCGTTCGTATTGCAGATTTAACGAGTGTCGAGGAATCATTTTTAACAGTTGTTCACTACGCAAAATTACATATTGCACGGGTAAGAAGATATTTTTGAATCCTGTTTATAAAACGGCTGTCAATAAAAAAAAAAGAAAAAAAACAATCGAAGACTAAGAGTATGAAACGCAAACGCGTGTATATAATTGCATGTGTATAATGTGCATCTTTCTTTATTTTGTCGTTTTCGAAATTTCTGATCTGTGGAGATGCACTATTTTAAGATATATAAAGACTAGAAATTTCCAAGTGTAAGATTTTTTCGTGTCATCTGTCGTCATTATTTTCGCGTGAGATGCAGAAGCATAAGAAGTAAGTGGTATTTGGAGAGTTATACAGCATATATTTTGCAATAGTGATAATAAAAAAAATAAAATCTAACATTTCATCGTAACTTGCATTGAAAGTATATATAGGTGAAACTGATTTTAAAATGTCGATGAGATTCGATTATCGTTGATTTTTAGAACACCGTCTCGAAGGGCTGCGTTCCAAAATCCTGCTCGACAGATAGAGCGACCAATTGACCAGTCCTTATAAAGAAATCATTGTTTTCTTTTTGTCCTGATTGGTCAATTTAATGTTACCCATCGAGTAGAGTTTTGGAACGCAGTAAAGAATGACGTAGAAAATGACGTTGGAAAATAGCCTTCACCACCGGTTTCTTGACCGCCTATCGAACCGAAGAATGGCGTAGTCGCGAATACGTGTACGGTGTGTTGGATCTTTTCTCAATATTGCAATGTTACTCGTTGTTTCGTCGGTGAATTTTACGAACACTCACGATTAATTCCAGAGCACCTCGCAAATATATTTTACGTGGTAGTTAAGGTTAGCGAGGTTAGGGTTTGTAACAAGATGCAAACATACATCGGTGACCGGTGTTGTTGAGACATTTGAACAAATTATGAATTCGTCCACTTTGTCGTCGAGCACTCTAGGGCACTCAACAGGAGGACAGAGGACACCGGAATCACAAGACTCGGAATTAACCTCAAGCGCGAACCAAACTTCCAAAGTTCTGAATCATATGAAATGCGAGTGGCAGGATCAGAAGCAACGTAAACGATTCTTCAAGGAGTTACATGCGAAGCGCGTACAGTCGTTACGAAAGGAATTGGATTATCTTAAGGCAACGGAGTGGAGATATCAACCAATAGATCGGTATGTTGTCTTGTTTACCTTACTTTTCACGATGCTTTTTTCATCAATGCTTCAATATAAACTACTACCGTACATACTCGTCCATAGGTACCTAGATAGGAGCCAAAGAAGTTAGACACAATGGCTTTGATGGTCACCTGGAGCCTGATTCAATATATCATAATGTATGTGAAAAAATATTCGGAAAAAACTGAGATCGAAGATATAGACAAAGTTATATCTCGTATAGAACGCGCGAGAGATGAAGAAACTGCGGAAGAAGAAACGGTGGACAAAGAAGGATGTTATTACAAAACAGGATGCATCACCCGTGTTACCCTGGATCATGTCCTGATAGATGATCGCTACGCGTATGAGAAAAATGACAATTTAAGCAGCAATCTGAATATAGGCGATAATGTTCACTATTTGGCATTACTGCGGGAAGCAAAGCTAAAAGTAGTAAAGATTATCGATGTGATTGATGGTGAATCCTGGGATAGCCCACAATGTATATCGAGAAACGATGAGAGCAGCCAACACAGCAACATGATACAAAGAAGCTTGATCGCCAGAGTGACGGGACGCGAGGGCCGTGTCATCATCATTGAACCGAACAATATTCACATCAACTTGAATAAAATACAATCCGAATTCATTCCTCTCATCGGTGACTGGATAACTGTGGAGTCTTTGGTTGAAGTAAACGAATCTTCTCCGGATCTGTGCGGTGAGATCTTGGAAGTAGATAAAATCAAGCCACTGCGATCCAAACTGGATGTAGGTGTGATAACCAAGTATGATTCGCTGAATCAAGTAGGAGTAATCGATAAGAATGTGATATTTCATAAAAGCGCGTGCGAACCGGGTTATATTCCTCGTGTCAATGACAAAGTGGTGAGCGATAGCATAGAGAGTGATCAGGGAATACACAGATGGAGGTCATTAACCGTAGTGCCGTTAATCCTGGTAAGAACTTTCCCGGTAATAATAACAAACTTCCCTTCATACGTTCACATAAAGTTATATCTTGCATTTTCTCAGGCAGAAGACAAAACTTCTCATTGGTCATCCGTAAGCAGTTTTTATTCCAAACTGTCGGACACAAATGACTTGTTAAAGAATAAAAACGGTATTGTCATAGACGACGAGTTGAAGTTCAATTTGGATATAGAAGAAGAGGGTACCTTGACGGTTGCGATACGTAATACTAGCAGCGATGCTCACGTGTTGCGAGAGAGTCGCTTCGTGCCGCAGAAAACTCCGTCTCAGTTAACAGTGATCACATCGCCGACGGATATGTGTGCTAGTACGTTAGTAATAAATCCCGCTGAAAGCGCTTCATGCACGTTCAAGTGTAAAGCAAAATTCGTCGGTAGATCCGAGGAGCTGTATATCTTTAACTTCGAAGACTTCAAGATCGGTAGATTGTTTCATATAACTGTCAATGCGAGAAACCTTTCACAAAACGCGCCTTCCGCGTCCGTCGCGCTAAAGGGCCGACGGAAAGTCAACTTTGACAATTTGAATGAAGAAGAGGACGTACTGACATATATTCCTGGAGTGAGACCGTTTAAACCGCCTGCTTTCGTTAAAGTACGTAACGGAGTCTTCAAGGTGCCGCGATACATTTGGAACGTGATCTCGAACAATGTGCAGAATGACAAATCGCAGATAGAGTGTGAAATCGCACTGTCGGATGAAATACCGTGTCTTCTGAAACAACTGACCTTTGATACGTACAAGGAACGTTTCCACATTTTGTTGTATCTGGAGGAGATAGCTCAGACGCTCAACATTCAACAATACGACATGAAAGGCGCGACCATGCGACGGTGCGGAGATTATCTTGTGCTAGAAGTGCCGGGGCTAGCAGAAAAACGGCCCTCCTTGCTGGTCGGTGATAGAGCCGTGGTATCCTTTGAGTGGGATACGTCTCAAGGTAATATTTATAAAAAAAAAAAACACTTATATTCACATACAAAATTTGCGAGCAATAACTGGAGCTTACTAAAGCTCCAAAAGTAATTTTCATATGTTTCAGACTTGGAAAGTTGCTTATCTTAGAATAATCTTGATTTTTTTATCTTACAATAGGAAAACTGAAATACGAGGGCTACATCCACAAAGTCGGGAGCAACGAGATTTTCCTCAAATTTAACATGCAGTTTCACAGTGATTACAACAACGAAGCTTGCGAAGTGACATTTAAGTGTTCACAGACCACGCTTCAGCGTTGCCACAACGCTGTTAATTTGGCCCTCAATCGTCTCGGGCCTGATATTCTGTTTCCTACCAAAGTAGTGGAGAAGGAGCCGCAGTTTCACTTGGAGGAATACGAAGTCGAGGAGAAACCCGTTCGTTTCATGCGAATCGGTAACAGAGCAAACGAATCCATGTCATCCGCCGGTTCCTCTAACAGTATCGCTTCTGGCAGCGAAACGTCCGTTGAGAGTACAGTCTCCAGGACGTCTCCAAGAATGTCGGTGGTAGAGAGGCTTTTCAACGTTAAGCTTATCGAAGGGTCGCCCGAAGTGATCGCGAAGACCGCGGAAACGCAATCGACGAATCTCAAAACGAATTTAACGAGTTGCAATAATGAAACTAATATCGCAGTCAATAACGCAGTTACGAAGAAAGCAGGTGAAGAAACTACCCAGAACGACGAATTGCAACCCTATATCAACCAGATAAAAAGGCGCAAATTAAATTGGTACAATAAGAATTTGAACTATTACCAAAGGGAAGCTGTGAGGAACATACTGAAGGGATTAGCACGTTCGCTACCCTATGTGATATTCGGTCCGCCCGGAACGGGCAAGACAATAACACTTTGCGAGACGATCCTGCAACTTTTCACCGTGATACCCGAGAGCAGACTTTTAGTGGCCACACCGTCGAATAGCTCGGCGAATTTAATCGCGGAACGTTTGCTGGACAACGACGTACTGAAGCCTGGTGACCTGGTAAGTTTCTCTCTTCTCCGTAAACGTTAATCCTTCACTTTCCATTGATTTAAAACTGAAGAATTCACACGTTAAATTAGCCCCCTGATTTACTCACTGCTGCATATCGTAGGTGCGATTAATCGCTCATCATTGCTTGTACGATAATTCTATACCCGCGCGATTGCTGCCTTACTGCGCAACAGCGGAGTTGGGAGAGGAACGAAGAGGGCATGACGAGAGAGTGCGTTGCGACAGTCCAGGAAAGGGGCCCAGACTGAATTGTACCATGTCTGTGCTGGGTCGTCATCGAATCACCATCGGCACCTGCAGCACTTTGGGACTATTGTACAATATGGGTTTCCCACGTGGTCACTTTTCTCATATCCTGGTGGACGAGGCGGGACAAGCGACCGAGCCGGAGATCATGATACCGTTGAACTTCATTCATTCCGATGAGGGCCAAGTGGTTCTCGTGGGCGACCCGATGCAGCTCGGACCGGTAGTGCAGAGCAAACTAGCTATGCGCTTTGGATTAGGCGAGTCGTTCCTGTCGAGGGTACTGCATCAGTTCCCGTACCAGAGAGACGACGAAGGTTTCGAGAATTATTACGATCCGAGACTCGTCACGCAGCTCCTCATAAATTATCGCAGTTTACCCGAGATATTGGAGCTGTCAAATTCATTGTTTTACCACTCGGAATTGCTGCCGCAAGTACGACTTATCATTATTAATATCGTTCTGGACTCGGTCTTCCACGAATTCACTACACAATTCTTGCTTTTTGCTCTCTCTCTCTCTCTCTCATTTAGATATCGTCTAAGAAGAGCCAGGAAGCTAAGCTCTTAGAAACACTGAGAGCGGAGTTGCCCGAGAGGAACGGATCACCGCCGGCTATCGTCTTCCACGGGGTCGATGGCGAGAACCTTAGAGATTCCGAAAGCCCGAGCTGGTACAATCCTCAGGAAGCGACACAAGTGTACCTCTACTTGTTGAAATTGTACAAGTATGGACTCGAGCCGGATGACATAGGAATTATAACTCCTTATCAAAAGCAGGTAGACACATTTAACTATCATTTACTGTCTTACACATGTGCTACATATTGCATTATTCTATATGTATTTAGTATCCTTCGTGTGCCGTACTTTGTGACACAACCGCTTTCCTTGTAATCACAGGTCATGCAGATCAGAGACCTGCTGTTTGAGTTAGATCTCAAAATACCGAAAGTTAGCAGCGTGGAAGGATTTCAAGGGCAAGAAAGGAAAGTGATTATTCTCTCGGCTGTCAGGTCGTGCAATAATTTAATCGACGAAGACATTAAGCACGCTCTGGGATTCGTCGCTTCGCCAAAAAGACTCAACGTTGCGATCACTCGCGCTCGCGCTCTGCTGATCATTCTCGGAAATCCCAAATTACTCTCCATGGATCCACATTGGAGGAGTGTTTTGATACACTGTATGAATCGTGGTGCATACACGGGATGTAATTTTCAACACGATTTCTGCATAAACAAAGTTTCTTAACTACAAAGAGTAAGAAATTGCAGAATTCCGATCAGAGAATGCAAAATTGTAACTTCTCCAGAATAAAAAAAGAAGGGGGAAAAAAATAGAATATAGCTGAAGTTCCTTCTTAAAATTCTCAGATACACTGTCTCCTTATTTTTATCGCGGTAACTTTATGTATTAGCATAAATATATTTTGGAGAGACCCGATTGTTTGTTTATAATCCTTAATCTTAAAAATATAATTATATATACACATTAAACAAAAGCGATATTTTCTTTTACGAAATGTTACGACTTGCTTATCGTTAGAGTGTTGAGAGTTATCAGTTACAGGATGAATTTCTACCTTTTATACGTGTACATATATTTCGATGTTAGGTTTGACCAACGAATAAAAATTCTTTTCTTTTTTTCTTTTCACGGTGACGCTGATCTTCATTTCTTTACATTTGGAAGGTACATGGTGGTACATCAATCCTGTTCATTGCAAATAGTCGTTCGTGGAATACTTCTTTTGCGTCTTGCTCTTCCATATCGTGTCGAGATGTCACAAGTCCAAGTTCCACGAGTGTTGATACTGAAACGAAAATCGCTCGTTACTATGTAAGAAACAAATTTCAGGATACCTCACTTTCTTAATTACTCATGTTCAAATAATGGCAAAATGATGGAAATAAACGGTTAAAACACTTAAGAACAATTGATAAAATAAAAGAGTTGATCATTCAATATACCTTGCAGTTACGAGGACGACAAACGAACACATGCCTTGAAATAATACATTAAAAACAATATATGGTGGAACAGATATTGTTAATAATATCTGTGTGTAGAAGGTTCTTTAGTATCTTTTTCACAACTCACATCTATCTCGCAACACGCTACATAAAATAAATCATGTAACACCGTGCGCGCACAGTATGATCGTGAATGATACTGACCTCTTAATTCTTAATTCCACGCTATACTTACTGGATCTTGAGTTTTCGCCTTCACTTTTCTCTCGATTAGATTCTCTAATGCCTCGCTTCGTACGCTCAAGGCCTCAATTCTCTCCACCAATTGCTGATACGGAGATGCCGGCTGTCCTCCCATTACCACATGTCCCAACTTGCTATCGATCTTAGCGTCCAAGCGTGCGTTACGAATCAAATTCACAATCCAACACTCCGCTACGTCTGCCTTCATGTTCAACTTCTCCGCGAGCATCCTATATACGAAATAATACAAAAGGTACTAACTAACTGATAAATAATAATTGGTACAGGTAATTAATTTCGACGAGAAAGTACATACCCGATACTGATACACTGATGAATTCTACAGAACGTCTCGAAAATCATTAGTCGAGCATTCTCTACGAATTCATTCAACAGAGCAATCAGGAAGAAATCATTGAAGACAACAGTCTGGCATTCCTGCAGTTTTTGCCGGGCACCGTCAAAGTCGAAATTAACGTACAGATGTTCGAGAAATTCTGTGATGGGGTCTCGGTACGTATAAGATTCCTATATATATACATTTATGTGCGTGTGTGAAAATAATAATCTTGTAAGAAATTTGTCAAAATCTTCTCAAGCTCAAGAGTCATTTAACTTGGGATTATTATTTCGCCGAAAGAAATCTTAGGCAAATTGTATACATAGAAGATTTCATAATCTAACCTGTTGTATGACTTTTACGAGATCCTTCAAAATTGATCTTCTAGAACGATTAACGATAACAGCAGCAGCCAAGTAACGAAGTATATGTGGACACATTGTCTGAATAGCATTTAAATAGCTGTAACGTTATTTGTGTGTTATAGCTCTTATAAACTACAAATTTTTATATATAATATTGTCGTAAATTACTGTTTAAAATATTATACATACTGTGGTCGATAGAGAAACATCTCGATAATGAGATCTCTCCCCTTTACATGGTTGAAAAACACAAATAAACTCCAATGAATGAGCCATGTGCGTTGCTGCAATACTTGAAGCGAATTACCAATAACATTACTGTCTATGTATTCCCGCAGCTTGTTCACATCCTCCAGAGCTGTTTCCCAATTCTGTACAAGGACCTCCGATGCTAATTTTCCCCATAAGACATTTAAATAGTTCTGGAAATTAAATACAGTTCATTTTCTATATATACACACGTGTGTGGTGTGTGTTCTATACATACACACACACAGAAAGAGAGAGAATAGCATATATCAATGGCATTATTATTTCAAAATTCATCAAATACCTTATCAGTAGGTGGCATAATCAGCATATAGAAATACAAGTATGAGGTCGAAACTGAATAATTGCCGCATTCATAGCGATACTTTGCTAACTGTACGAAGCTATCCATCATCTCCACCTTGAACTGTGATATACAATAAATAAAAATTAATTATCATTTTCTATCAAATACTTCATTATAGTATATTACTGCACATTCCACTGACATCTGATTCCTGAGTAAGATAATTATTAAATGTTTTGGAGTCTCGCATATTCTCCATCTTCTTCATAACTTCCTCATCATTCATAAGAGCTACAACCACTGAACCTGGAACACTGTCCTGGAGCGTACTAAGCTCTTGGAGTACATCAGCACGTCTGGCTTTTAATTCCTGAGCCAAATATATATCGTTTATCACGTTAATTCATACTAATTATTTACATTATATTAATATAACACACATAATCAAAATATATGCAGTCAACAAGAGATGAATGACAGTGTTGTTGTACGAACAAATATGAGTAACATACGTATAACTCGATCAATCAGGTTATAACAAACCTCCGGTATTTCCAGATTGGGGTAAAGTTGCTGTCTAATGTCGATCGTATAGTCAATCATGTTCGTTTTGCTCAGAATATCGAGTTTTGCGTGCAACAGCTCATCCTCGTCATAAATCTGGAATAGATGTAATGTAACATAACCAACGAAATGCCACGCCGCACCGCGCTTCACAATTTTACAATGTACCTGTTTAGCCGATAAAAATTCCAACAGAGGAAACACAAGGTGTCGATCAAGATATTGAGCTATACGGAACGTTAAGTCGAATTTCGCCATCGTGTTTTAGTTCTACCTCGTTTACCTCGCGGTCACCGAATTTAACAACATTCACCGAAGCGACGAAAAGGCTCTTCCTTTTCAGAACAGTGTTCTCAAAATTCCTCACAAACTATACGTCTGTTCTTTTTAATAGCACTGCTGATCTGGAGCAATAAAGGTATTTTTTTTTCACGGCAGCGCCGAGTATCAAGCTTCGAAGCCAATCAGCGGACAATAGATTGTCTTCCGATTGGGCTGATGTATGATTCTCGTCTGCTGATTGGCTCCGATGCTCGACGCTTCACGCTACCATGAAATCGTATCCCCAGTTGAAAGGAGAAAACATATACTTGTCTCACTTTAACTTAGTGAACAGGAACAGCAAAACAGCTAAAAAGAACAGGCCGTTTTCGTCGACATGTTCCTAAAACTGCTTAAAAATGCGTGTTACGAAGAGGGACTTTTAAAAATTAAAATTCCAATTTTAAGTTTTTAACTTTAAATATTTAAATATTTAGATTTAAGCTTTCAGGTGTAAACTTTTAAATTTAAACTTTAACATTTTCATCGAAATTATTTTTCATGAAAATAGTTCTGTATTTTTAGGAAATTTCCATACACAAAGATTATCGCACTGATTAAGCATGATGTGTAGGGGCACAATGCGGAGGAGAAGTGTAATGGTCGGCGATAGGTACTTTGGAGCGGAGTACTGCTCTTGTTAAAGTTAATTTTAGGATTAAATGTATCTATATCACTGAAAAAATTTCAAATCAACAAGATGCCACCTAAGAAGGCACCGGCGCCGAGCAAAAAAACGGAACAAAAGAAAAAGGAGAAAGTTATTGAGGTAAAAAGGGGTTTCATCTTTAACTGAAAATTAAATTTCCACATGTTATCCACATACTTTTTATATGCTAAATATAAAAATCTTTAATTTATATGTCACGTCTATAATCGAGGTATGTTTTCATATAAGAAAATATGATTTTCTTAAGGCAATTTTTTCTTTCAGGATAAAACGTTTGGTATAAAAAATAAGAAAGGTGCCAAGCAGCAGAAATTCATTCAGCAGGTTGAAAAACAAGTGAAATCCGGTGGTGTTAATCCACGCAAACTTGAAGATCCTAATGCAAAAAAACTGGAGAAGGAGAAAAAGCTCAAGGAACAGAAGGAACTAGCACTCATCTTTAAACCTGTCCAAATACAAAAAATAGATAAAGGTACGGTATAATGTTGTTATAAATATATAGTTGCTATTATCTAGATCATCTAAAAAAATTTTATCTAAAATTGCCCTAATTTACTTGAATATAACTTCAATATTTTGCGTTGTTTTTGAAATAGAATTCTTTTATCCTGTATGCTTAGGTTTTTCTTTTAATTATTTCAAAATTTGATACTAAAACAATATGTGAGAGAGGGAGAGAGAGAGAGAGAGAGAGAGAAAGAGAGATCAAGATACTCAAAATATCATTGAATATAAGGATCCATGAAATTTTATATAGATGTGTTTTTAAACAAAAAAATAACATTGTGATAAAATGATATTTGCAGGTATAGATCCTAAATCTGTCGTTTGTACATTCTTCAAACAAGGACAATGTACAAAGGGAGATAAGTGTAAGTTCTCTCATGACTTGAGTGTTGAACGTAAAGCTGAGAAACGTTCCTTGTACTGCGATATGAGAGATGACGATAAGGAAGCAGATACAATGGATAAATGGGATGAGGACAAACTGAAAGAAGTTGTAGAGAAAAAACACGGTGGCGGTATTCGCCCAACAACTGACATTGTAAGTTGAACAGATGATTGATAAGCATTTATATAAAAAAAAAAAACAATTATAGAATTATGAAAGATCTCTCGAAAACTTGTTCCTCTAAAGAAGAAAGATAAATAAACGTTTTCTTTCACTAGATCTGCAAACATTTTTTGGAGGCAGTAGAAAAGGCCAAATACGGTTGGTTTTGGGAATGTCCGTCTGGTCAAAAGTGCATTTACAGGCACGCCCTACCTCCTGGATTTGTCTTGAAGAAGGATAAAAAGAAGGAAGAAAAGAAAGATGAGATATCCCTGGAGGATTTAATAGAAAAGGAAAGGGCTAATTTGGGGCCTCATCAGGTATAAATATTGTATGAAATATGCAATTAAAATCAATCCATTGTAAATTTTACAAAAGAACAGTGTACTGATCACTTGTTTATTTAATCATTTTCACAGACCAAGATAACACTAGAGACATTCTTAGCTTGGAAGAAGAGAAAGTTGAAGGAGAAGCAAGAACAGGCGATCAAGGATGAGGAGAAGAAGAGAAACGATTACAAGGCTGGTCGCCAGGTCGGCATATCGGGCAGAGAGATGTTTTACTTCAACCCAGACCTCGCAACCGGAGACGGTAAGATCTATCGTTCGAGAGACACGGCTCGTTCGAGCTTTGCATACGATGTGAATATTCTATATTTTTTTGTTTTACTCTCGTAGGTATCGACGACGGAGACGAAGCAATATCCAGTTATGTTCGCGAAGAGGATGATTATGAAGATATACAATACAGGGAACTCGATATGGATCGTCTAGCTTTTGAGGCTAGCGAAACTGATAGTACGGGTATCACTGTAGCTGCTGCAGATCGATTAAAAGTTAATAATGTCGCTGATGATGATAAGAACGTTACAGGTACATTATATAATTATATCAATTGATGCTTTTTTTTTCTTTTTAAAGTAAAGTGCTGTTGATTGATCAATCGATATTCTATTAATTAGAGAAAAAAACTTGTAAGTTGAGCTTAGGTAAACTTAAGGTGTTTATTCACAAATTTTAAAACTTGTATAATAGACATCTTTGTTTCGATATTATTAGATTATTAAATGAATGTTTTGTTCTATCGCAGTGACTGTGGATGAAGGTGCCGCGGCGTTAGCTATTAATGAAAACCTCTTTATGGAGGAGGACTTGGAAGGTTTAGAGGAAGAATTGGGGGACCTGGACTTGGAGGAGTAATCCAGATGTCCCGATCGTATATCTCTCCTCATGCCATGTTGGTTCCGCTCCTCTCATTCGTGTTTCATCAACTTCCTTTAATACGTATCGCTCGGATTAACCTCAAATGCATTGTACATGCGCACTTTTCAACGTATTTACACACAAACATTGTGTTTGTATATTTGAGCATATGTACAAAAAACTGGTGTCGCGCGAACCAATTGGTATATTGTAAATGTAATAAAATGAGAAAATTAAGGAAAGAACATTGATACTTACACATAAATATAATAGAGAGGCGCAAATATATATATTTGTATAACCCATGAGTTTCATATATACATAAGGCTTTGCGCACAATATGGAGATATATCAGGAATAAATTTTAAGCATAACGCACAAGTGATGAACAAGAATAAAATATAGGATATAAACATAGAAATTGCGTCATTCAATTTGGAAGGCTCAATTACTGTTGGGAAGAGAGGATTAGAAAGGGTCAATAGGGTCAGTAATGTTTCTGGGCGTTCAATGTTAGAACTTCATTGCGTCAGTTTTTGTCGGTAAGAGGGTAACACGATGACAACTGATCAATAATAGGCAATTTAATGTTCTGGGGGTCGATAAATTTTCGGGAGTCGGTAAGTTATCAGGGTCGACAAGTTTCCGAGGATCGGTAAGTTACCAGGATTGATAAATTTCCGGGGACTGGAAAATCTCCGGAGGTCGGTAAGTTTCCGGGGAGCAATAAGTTTCTTTATTGTGCATCGCGGAAAGCAGAGTGAGATTCCAGGATTCCAATTTTTCTATAGATTCATGTAAGGATGATATTTTATATTTACTCAATATATATGAATCATACTGTATTCACGAAGCAATAGATGTCAATCGGTTTGATCTGCATTACGAAGGTTTGAGTAACCTGTGTAATCTCATAAATCTCAAGTGGCCTAGTATCAAGAATTGCAAAAATATTGACGCCTGGGGTTTAGACAAAATATCAGCAGAATTTCCGAAAAAATTTGTCATCTCGGGCTGTGAGAGAATCACTGAGAGAGAATTGAGGGAACGTTATGGAATGTTCAATCAGAAGAAATTGATTCACGAATTTCAATAGATCTGCTGCATCAGAGGTAACATGTATGATGTTAGATTGTATGCCTGGCTTGTAAGAATTGTGGTCCTGATAGAACAAAGTCTGAAACAATTTTTCTCAAGCATCTCTTATTGCATCTCATAATTGAGAGTTTTCTGTAATGTCCATATTAGATCGTTCACGATGCTTATATATTTATCTCTGTCTCCCAGGTAAAACATTTTAGGTATGTTAACAAATTTATTCACTATCTTTTAAGAGGTTATCGTTTGTTAAAATACTGCCGTATTACACGTGTCTTTTTTTTTTTGATAACCCAGGGGAAATCCTCACCCTCAGAATCCGGGGTGACTCCGAGGGGTATGTCAGACTTTTACCGACTAAAACTCCTGGGGGTGCCAACCATGGCGCTGGGTGGGGGGCACGCGGTACCTGCAATTCGCACACCCGACATGCCTATCGCGCATATTCTTCTCTTTGGCAACGGAGGGGGGCACCTCCGCTCCGTCGCTCACGTCTTTTGTTACTTTATTTGAAGAAAATCCTTATATTTTTGTGCGTTATGTGCACAAAAAAATTTTAAGTTAATAAATTATTTTTCATTCGTGATACCTAAAAACTATAACGTCATGTTAAAACAAAACAGTTCTACGTAGCATGTCATTTGTTTAAACAAATTCATAAAAATTATAAACGATTAGAAATGACATTTACTTCTCAATCAGTTACGACAAAAATGTTTACATATTTCGATTCCTTATTCAATTATGAATAAATGAGTGAAAAAAAAAGTTGGTAACTCGCAATAGGTAAATAACAACGTTCATTTGTTTACATCGACGCGCGGCGGCGCGAACTGGACGCGATTATATACGATTAGAAATTACATGTACTTCTCAATCAGTTACGACAATAATGTTTACATGTTTCGATTCCTTATTTAATTTCGAATAAATGAGTGAAAAAGAAAGTTGGTAACTCGCAATAGGTAAATAACAACGTTCATTCGTTTACATCGACGCAAACCGGACGCGGCGCGAACTGGACGCGGCGCGCTGTTAGTAAATCATTTGCGTGTATTTTTTGATGAAAATGGGAAAATTTTGATATTATTTTATTATCTTATTAATTACACGTTAGACACATTACGGCTCTATATGTATAATTTTAATAAATATACTGAACATTATTGACCTAAACTGGAAAAATTTAAAAACATCCACGGTTCGCTGGGTTTCGGCCGCCTCTGAAGAACCGTTTATTGAGTTTATTGAGATACAAAATCATTCCCTAAGATTATATTACAACGACATACAGCGTTCATTTCGCAATTCTACGTATACTTTGTGCGAATTAATTGCCATATTCATGTTGCTGTATTCCCACCTAATTAATAAAAAAACTATATCAACAGAAACATTAATCAAATAAAAATTTACATATAGAGAAGGAAAGAGTGAGAGGGAGAACATTATGTTTTGTCGCAGAAATTATTCTAACACATATCTACCTGTGACCTTTACGATCCTCGATGACGAGTTTATTGAAAAACATTGTATCTGCATCTGTATCGTCCGCAACGTTCTTTTCCGCCTTATTACCAATACGTTGATACGAGACTGTACCTGTAATGCTCGCGGTATCAGACAACAAGGCGTCGAATTTCACTGCTGCGATGTTGTAAAACATCATCCCCTCGTTTCTTCGTTTGGATAAACTTTAATAACATTTGAAACACACACACATAATTAGCAAATTCATCACTAATCAGAGCCGAATTAAGACCCAAGAATCTTTGCTTACGTGCATTGAATTTTGAAGAGCGTCGTAGAATTACTTAAGAATATCTTGAAGTGCAGTATCCCGGATGTCTTCGGCATACCCTCGGATGTCATTACTGATGCCCTCAATGCTGTACCTAAAAGAAATGATAATTAATTAGTTAGGCAACAAAAACATCATTTGCGACAAAATATATCTCGCTTTTAGCAAAAGGCTTAAGGTACCTGATCCTTCGCTGTAGTCGTCTTATTTGATGACGTCGAAGCGAAAAAAAATGCATGCCTAAGATCCTTGCATAATACGTTGAAATAAAATAAATATGTCTACAAAATGATACTTGTCAGAGAGCATAATACGTTCTGAAATCATTCTGAATATGTCCTGAGACATTTCTGAATGATTTAGAGAAATCTTATGCTATTCGGATTGTGATCAATTGAACATATTTGTAAAATATCCCAAAAACTAGCATTTTACCTAATAATCACTAAATAACCGTAAAATTAGCGTGTCAAAATCGTAAAAAAAATAGACCGTAAAGGAAAATTGTACCCCAATCAATGTATTTAATATTATGTAACATTTATATTATTGAGAAATTATAACAGATGCAATGTAACAGCGATGCTCGGTGTTGATTGGGATGTTATATTCATTTTACGGTTATTTATTAATTGTTAAAGCAAAAAGAAAATTCCCGGGATATTTTGAAAATTTGCCTCAATTAATCATAAGTGTCATTTTATACACATATTTTTTTTATTTAAACAAATTTTATAAGAATTTTAGACATACGTTTTCTTATTTTTGACATCATTAATCAAAGTGATTGCAGTGAAAGAAGAGCCTTAATTATTCATATATTCCGATACCACAGAACGGTGATTCAGCTCTGGTAGCCAGGTAGTATAATCCCAAAGGTCGACGATTAGCCGAGTAGCCCATCTCTTGACTCCATTCGATCGTTTCCATGGGGAAGCACATTCCCCTGATGTAAGACATTCCGCCTTGTGGACAAGGCCACGCAGTGAATTTACATTCTTCATTCTGCAAGCGGATACTCTCCACGAAAAGGTACCAGGCTCTTAGGTGGCTGCATGCTATATTTCGGTCTAGATCTTCTAAAATGAGCGAACAAACAGAAATCATATACAGAATCAGTTGTGACTTCTTGTGAAGATACGCGCACATACAGCGCATGGATGTTCAAAGGACAACCGATTTGTCCGACACGGATGTTCGTGGGATGTCGGTATTCGTTTGTTTGTGATATATTTTATTTATTTTTTAATATTTTCTAATATTACTATGAAAATAAAAAGTACCTAATTGAAAAAATTAGTTGAAAAAACCACAAAATATTTCCAGCAGTCGACCCTCGTTACACGTGCGACTGCATGAATGTGTGATTTTGTCATTCAAGAGTTAAACTTGCTGACATGTATAGAATCTCATATACAATGGGGCAATTTAAAAAGGGAATCTCATAAAAGGGGAATCTCCCATTTCCGGTAAATGGTTTAAATATCTTGACCGAAATTAAAACCACCCAGCGTACGTTCGCGTTAGTGTAAAGTGATCCTTCCGGTCGCTGACCTGCATCACCGATATACAGATACGTTCGGAATACGGTCGTTGTGACCTCTTCTAGGACGTAACACTTTGCTAGTTAGCGTTTAGAAAACTGCCTTCGGAATTATTTCTCGATGCAGAATATAAGCAGGTTTGATCCTTACTAAGTTTTCTAGTTTTATTTATAGTCTCTCTCTCTAAGCACCGAACGAAGAAATATATATTGCATGAAATTAAAAAAAAAAGCACTATTCATTATAAAATTTTGACCGTTCTCCATGACGTATTTATTTCATTGCGCATTAATTATTAACTATAATAATATATACTATAGAAATGATTCTCCTGACTAAAATTCTTTTATTGTGCTATAATGATTGCAAATACCAAATACTTATTTTTAGTATAATTGTAACTGAAGAGCTCTCAATTCATACCTTTCAAGTGGCTAACCACTACCGAATTCTTAATGTCAACACAGCCGGGTTGCTCCCTGCCACCGTTAGGAAAAAAGTCGATATGTCCGATTGGCTTTAGTAAACCGAAGCCGTCCGTGAAATCTTGCGAGCCATCAGTGTGAATTACGTCGACGAGGTTGGCGTCGGAGGCATCCAGTTTTCGCGACTTCTCTCTGAACAAATGATGTCTGAAGAATGGTGAAGCCGGGTCGAGGCCTGTTATGCGGCTTAGCAGTAAATTTTTCTGTTTTAGCATCTCTGAGGCGCAGCCGGCTACGTGCGCGCCCAAGCTGAAACCTATTACGTGAATATTGACGGGATTAATTCCTAAGTTGATAGTGTCTAGAAGAATCAGAGCCAGTTGTCGGCCGACCAGCTCGCTATTCGCTACCGCGATTCCGTAAGTGCTGGCGGCACCCATCGTCCAGTCCGGGATGATGATGTTTGCATCTTCCTGCAAATAGACGCACACTCTTACAGAAAAATATTATTAGTAATCGCTGGAAAAAATACTAATAATTCATTACTGATCAGTATTTCAGTGATTTGTTGACGAATTACTGGCAGGAATCAATTAGTGCGATTTTAGAATATTGTTGGCAGCAAAATTATGTTGATGCAAACGAAATGAAACAAATGTTAACTAATGTTAAGTCATGAGAAAAGTGCTACTTTAATTTTCGCATTTTTTACGTATTTGTTTAATAAATTTTTACATTTTATGTTTGATAAAGTGTTTTCAATATTAGTACTTATTTTGAATTTACATATTTATTTCATAAATGTCAAAAATTAACGAAAAACTCTGCTCGTATTTTTTTGCTTTAATTTTCGTTAGTGCAGAGTGTGTTTCGATATTAAATGTTGCACAAGATAATGCCATATTCCGTAGTCCTTTTATCTTTTTCAATCATTAATTACAAGTAATTAAAATAAAAAGTTTGATATCTAATGAAATATTTAATATTGAGTACTGTACAAATTTATTAATTTGAGTAAGTAAAGTAAATAGCTAGGGAGTGGATGGTTTTACAAGTTTTTGGTAAAGGAGTCTGCGGCCGAAAAAAGTTTGGGAACTCTTGTTGTAGATGATCGCAAACTCCGGCCGTGTCAGCGCGCCACCTACAAAAGGAACTAAAATAATCGGAAATGTAGTCCTTAATACAATGACACTGCTATACTGATATACTGCTATAGATATTATTAGACACAAACCATGTTTATGATTCATGGTTAGCAAATCCGTCATTCCGAGGTAACTTAATGTCAGCTGCTGTGACCTATGACAAAATAGGCAAATACGAGGATGGATCAAATATAAACGAGCCTTTTGCGAACATATATTTTTCAAAATCAATTCTAATTTACATTTTTCTTATTTTTCTACATAGTCCCCCATCTTATCTATACACTTCCTCCAACGGTCTGGTAATTTTTTAATCCCGTATCATAAAAAGTTCACGGACGTGTATCAAACCAATTGCACGAACTGCTGCACCTCCACGTTTGTTGTGAAGCGCTGTCCACCAAGGGCTTCCTTGAATGGCCCAAACATATGGAAGTCGCATGGTGACAGGTCTGGGCTGTAGGATGGATGTTCCAGAACAGCCCAGTGCATATCGGCCAATTTTTGTTGTGTTACTGCCGCACGGCTTTCTGCTCTGCATTCAGCAACTTTGGAACTCAACGAGCCGACACTTTTCGAAATTTCAACTTATTCCGAATGATTGATTGCACACTTCCATAGCTGATCTGAAGTTCCTGAGAGATTTCAAGAACAGTTAAGTATCGATCGCCTTCGATGAGTTCTCGAACAGCCTCGGTGTTCTGCGATGTGATACTGGTGCGGGGACGGCGCAGGTGGACAATGTTTTCAACACATTCCCGTCCTTTCTTAAATTCGTTACATCACTGCTTCCATCTAAGCCCACGAAAGGGTTCTTTCCTCGAACTGTGCGAGTAAACGGTGCCGAATTTCAGCAGCATTTACATTTTCGTCGACGAGAAACTTAATAATAACACGTTGTGCAACTGCGGGGTGTACCTCTTTCTCGCTCATCGTGATTACTGCTGAGAGTAAGAAGCACGTGGCGCGCCAACGTTATTACTGCCTTCCACATGCCGCCCCTCTACTGTCCAAAACATTGCAGACTCCTCACGCCGCCGACGGGCGCGCAATTTAAAAAGGCTCGTTTATATTTTATCCACCCTCGTATATAAATATATATAANTTGAAATGTATAAGATTGTAACTTCTTTATAATCTGACTGGAATATTCGGTGCTGTAAAGGCTATTATTAGTCAATCAGTAGTCAACAATATCATAAATTATAAATGACTATAAATGATTAAATAGACTAAAAATAGACGTTAATATGACATCTATTTGCTGGTTGTGACAATTCTGATATTCGTTTGGAAATAATACAAAATTGAAATCTTCTACTTTAATATACAGTTTTTAAATTTTATAGTTTTTAAATACATATATTCAGTAGTGTAGATTACAACTAATTAATAATGATTTAAATTAAAATGGAAGAAAAAGAGAAAAGATCTAGAGAACTGACACTGCTGGATATTAATGCGAATTTTAAATTATGGGAAGATAACGTTTTATATTTATATGTAAATGAACGGAGAACTAATAGGATATATATCTCATAGTAAATTGAGTTTTTCTTTCTCCTGATATATTTTTTGTGACTGTTAATTAAGATAAATAAATAACAAAATATAAAGTTAAGCATTACTATATCGAGAAGCATGTTTACGCCAAGTATGAGGCTGACATCGCTACCGCTGCCCTTGTAACCGTGTATCATCACTTTCAGTGGTTTGGAGATGTTGAAATGGGAATGCGAGATGGATTTCGAGTCGTCACCATATTCTAAAAGTTCCGGATCTTGTCGGTTGACACGTGTATAGAGGAAAAATTTAGTCTGAATCACGTTAGGATGCTCGGGCGGCCGTTTTATCGACAGATGAGATGGTGGGACTGCAAAACAGCCGACTAAATCTGAAAAATGTCATAAATTTCATATTAGAAATGTTTTTTTCTTAAAAGCTCACAAGAATTATTTTTTTATGAAGCAGAAAAAGAAAAGAAAAATGAATTTTTATTTGGTTCCGAAAAGCTTTCGTCGCATTAAGAGAAAAAACCCTCACAGCACCATCCCAATAAGATTACAGTAACCTTAATTTGTAAGATGGTATTTGGATAGATGGATTTGTAACATTTCACGGATTAAACCTGCTATTATAATAATAAGCCGTATTTTAATAACCTTTCAACACATTTTCAAACAAATTTCAAGTATAAAAATTGCGGATATTTTTAAGAGCTATCTCAGAGCTGTTGCAGAAATGTTTGCGATGCTTTTGAGATGTTTCAACCCATCACATTTCTGAAATATCTCAAAAAGATTTCTGTGCTGTATAGGTCAAGAGATTCGACGCTAAAAAAATATTCACAGTTCAACATTAGCATTGCAATATTTCAGCAATGTTGTTTCTTTTTTCTGTGCTATATAGACCTGCTTATAAAATGTGCCAAGGTGTAGTTTTTCCCTAGATATACCTCTGAATAAAACTCTTCTTTTTCCAATTCTTGTCCATGTTCTAAGTAGTATTTTTACATCTAATGAGTATTCATTAATACTAGACATTAATTGGATGGATACCTAGGAAAATTGCATACATTTATATCAAAAGATCCAAAGATTGAAATTTTTTTCTGCGATATTGATTAGCTGTCTGGAAATTTCGATCTAGATGAGATTCATTGGATCTGGATTTTCTATTTCTGCACTGGCTTACATTAATTCTCTTTTCTTCTCTTTCTTGCAATTTGGCGTGAAAGAGAGGAAAAGAGAATTAGTGCAGGCTAATGCAACTAGTGCAGCAATACAAAACAAATCTGTTATTTACTTAGTTTGCGGCTATTTTCTCTTTTTAATTAATTTTAATTTGGTGCTTATTTAGCTACATAAACTGAGATTTTTCTACGTATAATAGTATTTCCCTAAACAGCCGCGTTGATATTGGTTCCAGTATATTAAAAAAAGTTTGGAGAATATCTTTAATTTTATAATTTTGAAACAGCAGTGTGTTTATTTGTTCTTCGTTATTTTTAAAAGAATCAATAATCAAATAATAGCATACTCTAATCACTAATCAATAATCTAAAATAATAGCATACTCATATACCTGAATATTCGGGCAATATGGTAAGAAAAATAAGGGTCATGGGTACTCCGGATAACTACTCGGATACTTGGGTAGTCAAAATTAATAGCACTACTTACCATAGCAGACTTTAGACTTATCCTCACGAGAGATGCCAATCCGCCTCAACATGACACGATTCCTGGTCGCAAGAAGCTTGACTGTAAAAATAAAAATCAATGCTCGACTTTTAATAAATAAACTTGAATAAATTATTAATCAGCAATCAAACAACGCACCCGGACACTATAAAAACCGACGTTCTTCGATAAAAAACCCACTGCAAATGTTCCTGTCCGATTTTGATGCGAATGTAAATATGTTAAAATCTAGACCAAAATAGATAACACGCGCAACAAATACCTCACGTAAACTCTTAAGTCTGACGGTGAGTTGCGCTGCTCTTGCCTACCCCCTGTATCGAGCCCGCAACACATAAGTAAATTATTTCTTTTTATAATTTAAAAACTAAGCTTCGAAGCTCAGAATATAATCAGGAATATGTCTTTTGAAGGACAAGTGGTTGTCCTGAATTACTATAGTTGGATTCAATGTAAAATACCCTTTTATTTGGTAGAAAAAATGATTTAGATTACAGAAAAGAAATAAATGAAGGAGGTACGTTAAAAATTATAATATTTTTGAAAAATCTGCGAACGTCATGTAAAATACACTTGAAACTGTCTTTCATTTAGGAATTTTTTAAATTACTTATTAGTTCTCAATGTATCCGTCCCGAAAGAAGAAAACCCAATTGTTATCAAAAGGGCATTTTATCCGTTAAGGAATTACATCTTTGTAAACCGCTGAAAACATAGGGTAACTTTGGGAATTGTTTATAGTAAAATAATAAAATAAGTGAAAATTCGGTTTGCAGGCCTTTAATATGCATACCTTAAGCTATACAAAACAATTTTTTTTAATTTTTTGTGCCAAGATGGCGACGCTGGAGCTCTGCAAGTGAGACTGCTTTTTTCTCACGGATCTTCGCAGCTTGCAGTAGAAGTGCCGTATACCTTCACTAAGGGCAAAAAGCAAAATTTTTTTACAATGTATATTAAATTATATTAAATAATGAGTATAATAGAATTTGGTAAATGTTAACAATTATTACAGAACTTTGGTTTTTTCAGAAACATTTTTTAAAAGTCTTCTTAAAATTTAAGCTTTTCGAAATTTTCTAAAATATTGTTAAAAAAACACTTTTCCACTGTTATATTTATTTTAATCATAAATCGAGTAATTATCTCCCTTCAGAAATAAAAAAAATACTACAAAATGTGTACTTACTTCGTGACATGTTCTTTTAACGTATCAAAAATGCTACACAATCGCTATTTAAATTAATATATGCAACATACTTTTGACAATGTGACAGATATGCCTAAAGATTACCTTTAAGTGAATAATATTTTTAGCATCATATTTATCCGATCAGTGATAAAAGAATGACAAATGGTAACGATTTATGAATATATGACTGTAGGATATCATAAAACTGTATTTATATTAACTTGAGTTAAAACTTTAAAATATGATTTTTTACCAGGAAATATCTATTTAAATCACTGTTGTATTAATCACGAATATGTTAACAAAGATGATAAAAAAATGAATCCGATGTTCATACGTGTTTGCACACACACACACACACACATACACACATACACACACACCGTACAACTCCATGAGACGACCAGTTTCTATCGTTTGCATTCCGCAAGGATTAAGGGCGAATCACCATAAATGCGTCTGCCCGATTGATGAAATTCACAAAGCCACCATTACACGATGCGTGATTTCTCCTCTTTTTCTACACTACTCGAAATAAAACTGTGAAAAACACCGAGAACGCTCGCCGACGGGACATACAAAAATCGCGTAACACACGACATCGGCGTGCGAAAACAATTTGCCTTTATTTGGTCTAATTTACGACGTCTAATTCACATGGTGTGCGAACTTCACCGCGTCGTCATTTCCGATATATGCACGAGGAGCATAAATGAGCGCACTCACCAGGTTGCAATTTTCCGAGGATTGATGGAGCAACGATGATTATCAACAAAGCGAGAAGAACACGACGGAGAATGTCGGCCGGCCACATCTTGCCACTAGGTCGTCGGAGGCTCGTGTCCTTCATATAGGTTATTGCATCTTTTGCCTCCTGCTGCCCCACCTTCGCCCACGCTTCCTCGTTTTCTTTTACTGTCCCTTTTCAGTCCTCCTCTAATTCACTTTTTCTTCTTCTTCTTCTTCTTTCTTCTCTTTTTCCTCACTGAAATGCCTGGCGTTTCTGTCGCAAGGCGCGCTTTTCGTTCTTCTTCGATATCGGACTTACCGACACAGACTTTACCCACTCGTCAAATTATTGCAAAAGTGTGCGTATACGAGCGACTGTCTTTTTGCGCAATCATCTTTCTGCTTGCCGGAGCCTGACGACTGTCCTAACGTTTTGCTCAACTCGGTTCGTCCAGACGTTGTTTTCTTGAGTCACTTACATTTTCAACTACCTGTTCAATTTTGCATTGTATGTGTTTCCTATCTTTTGCACTTCTGCATTCATTTATGTCGTTCTTATGCTTGTGGTGTGTATATACGTATGTGTTTGTTGATATTAAAATGTCATAAAAATATCATATAAAGTTCTTCTCTTGATAATAAATGAATTTTATAACGCGACGTAAAAGCAGAACGTCTTGCTTCTCTTATTTTTTTTTTTATTTAAAAAAGTATTTAATTTATTTTGTGATATATACTTTCTGTTGCGATGAACACCTTGAACCTGAAAACCAGATTATTCCCTCGACAAAAAATCGCTTGTCAAATGACAATATATCGGCGACATATGTGTCACTGCGCTTTCGCTAGACACCTACATACCACTTAACATGATGTAACGATGTCGTATTCTCTTTCAGTGCTAACAGTAATTATGCGCGCAAAATTGAACTCGCGTGACGACGCATTGCTTTCACTTAAATAAATCATGCGACGTATCTTTCCACGCGTAATATCAGACATTTAGCAAAACGCGGAAAATAAATTTGTTAGTCCACTTGCAGAATATGAGGCAAACAACAAGTATGTTCAAAATAAATTATTTCACGTATATTACGTACGTTACATACAGAGCAAGAACAGAAATTTGCAAAATTTGCGGAATTATATATATATATATATATATATATATATATATATAATTATATTATAATTATATACACTTTGACTGCCACGTCGGTTATATATGACCGGCCACGATTTCCCCTGTGACGCCACGATGGTCATTGATGGTGGTCACGTGGCGTCCTGAGCGAAACATGTGATTTCGGCGTGGCAAAGTATTTTAACAGAGAATATTTAAATGATTAATTAATGTATTCATCTTATTAATGGTGCCACATTGAAAAAGCAAGGGCTGCATTTTTTAAACTACAGAGAGTTTCTTGCGAACCGACAGCTCAGCCACGACTTCAGGATATACATCCTTTGGTGCTGTCTTCTCTGTTCCTTTATGAGGTTGAGTTAGACCCTGAATGACGCATCAATGAAATAGCTGTGATGTTATCGCCGCATGCTACGAATAAACTGGATAAATCATATTCGCAAAGAGGAAGTCTTGTTTAAGACGGGGAAGGAAAAGGAGATTTTCAGAACGGTCAAGACTCGGAAACTCGCTTATTTCGAGTACGTGATGCGTCGCTTCGGGAAGTATCAACTCCTCCACTTCATTATATAGGGGAAGATCAGTAGTAGCCGCGGCCCTGGAAGAAAGCGAATATTTTAACTGAGAAGTCTACGGCAGTAGTTCGGACTTTCATCGACAGCGTTGTTTTGAGCTGCCGTCAAAAAGGTGGTTATCGCGAATATGATCGCCAACGTTCAGTGACGGGCACGGCATTTATCTTATTGAAAAATAAGAAAACATCGAAGTTTGCGAAAAACAGCACGAATGAATTTATACATCTAATATATATTAAGTGAAATTTATTTACATATATATATTTACCTATAAAAATTATACCTATAAAATATAATACCTATAAAAATGTTTATTTGATCAGGGACAAATTATAAACTTTATCATATGAATGATATCATATATATATCAATGTGTCAATTTTATATATGTAAGACATTCTGCCATAAATATAGTAATATAGTAAGTTTCTTATGTACCTGCGAACTTTTAAGTTTCGTTAAATTATAAAATGTACATCTGATTTAAGCGTGAACGTGGCATGGTAATCAGCGCACTGGTCTGCTATGCTAGAGGGTTCGATTTCCGGCAGAACCAGAAAAAAAAAAATATATATATATATATATAATCCATTTTTGTAGTAAATTTTTGTGATTAATGACACTTGCCATACTCTCCAAATAACGCTTTTTTTTAAATTATTTGCACAATACTTATATACAAAAGCCAAAAAGCCTGACGTCCTTCTTTTCTTTACAGTGGCCAAAAAAATTAGCGAAGACACGCTTCATGAAGAGGAAGCAAGTGAACAGAAACACTCCTTTGCATTGTGGTAGAGAGGGTAATACGCTGGTTTTTCTTCACTGCATGAAATAGCATCTTTATACATAGAAGTCAAACTTTTATTTGCCTTGTAGTTGATTTTTATTTGTATATCGACTCTAACTTGTTGTTAAATAATAACAGGAAAAGTTATAATTTCTACCTGCTATTAATAAGATAGAACAAGTAATGTTTCACTAATAGCGATTTTAAATATTCGATTAGATTAAATAGATTAGTCAGTTTGATAAAAGTCACCTTTAATCTGAATTTAGTGAAAATCGCTAAGATTATTATACCGGATTGTTTATAAATAAAAGAAACGCAAAACATGTAATCATTTTTTTCGTCATGTGTCCGTGGGCTCATATTTTGAATTTTCTTTTATCGATAAAAATGTCTTTAAAAGTGGCTCAGGAACCACCTGATTGGCTAAGAAATCGTTTGAAGCACTTTTATCGATAAAAGAGAGAATACAGGCCCTGGTGTTTCTCAAAATCGTAAATGTTGTTACTGTAAGTTCTTCTTTTTATCATATTCGATATTAGATTATTCGGTATTAGATAGATTCGAATGTTTTTTAAATATTTTATAATGGATTTTAAATGTTTCTTAAAATCAAAATTCCTAACATGACAACATATGTGAAGAAATTTAGTTCTTACACATTTAGTACAGAAATGTAAATTATTAAACTTATACAATTCATACATTTAAAACTAAGTTTATCAATTAATAACAAAATAAGTCGCGAAAGATAAATGAGGATAACGATGACAGTGATGGATGAAGATGCCAAGTCCTTTTAATTAAGAAGTAACTTCCTCAGTAGCGCCTTCAAATTCTAATTTCACTTGACAGTCATCATGAAGTTCTTCAACATCTACTTCTGTCTCAGATGCGTTTAGCATATTTAAAGTGACATCCGCAGATTTTCCCATTAGAGCCTGATTTACCGATTGTTGTTTCGACAATTGCTGCTGTTGAGCCAACGATTGTTGTGCTGTCGGAGGAATCATCTGTTGCCTGATAGGTACTCCAGCCTCTTCAAACGCTTTCTTCTTCAAGGTAGTTCGTATCTGTGAACTGTAAGTAGAAGAAATTATATAGTTGTTGTCAGGCTCTGGCTGACGCAGAAATTGAGGGATGACCGTTATTTCGATGGCTTGCCTTTGAAACTTACACCGTCCGACTCTTGATGTGGTCACTTATTTTGTTCAAGTCTTCACTGAAGGTCTTCACCGAGTGACGGAGCATCTCAATTTCCTCGTCAGTCCATTTACTATGCATCAAGGAAGGATTGGGAATTATGAAAATAACATAGGATGCATGTAATAGTCATATTATAAATACTATCACAACAGTGTCATGATAATATTGCAAATATAATTCCCTGTCTCAAGACATATGAATTTGTTTGCACGTAATAAATATTAAGACCACAATTTATAGATTTGCCACTAATATTATATATTATTATAGATTGCAATAATATTATTCCATACTATTTACAATAATATCATTTCATACAAGTTACAATAATATTATTTCATATTTAAATTACCCTGCTGGAGAATCTGTAACTGGATGCAGTTGCATTGTAAGTTCACCCAGCTTACTAAAGGCCGCACCAGCCGCGGTGAAAATTTCACCCACCTAAAATTAAACAGCTTTAGAAATTTACTTCAGCTTTAGGAATTACATATATTTGTCAGCAGTACTTGCGGATAATTAGATTTTTGTTATCCCTTAATATTATATGATATGATTATGTAATTAAAAATATAATTTTAGAAAGACATTCTTAACTTTTCACACAAAACATTTTGAAAAACCACAATTGTAAATAATCGACATAACCTTATCAAAGGGTACAATGTATATACACCTTATTTTCTTCATTATTATATGTACAAATTTTTACTGTCACTTAAATATTACACAAAAAGTGAATGTTTAACATAATACTTTTTTTATTACGGTTATAGCATAAATTTATCGGAAAGGTCAACTTTTTTCAAATAGAATGAATAATCATATCTTTGTGCGCGTGCTAATTTTCTTCTTTCACATTTTTTTCTTGCAGAAAACATCCAAGCCACTAAATATTACAATAAATAACGGAAAGTTGATTGAAATTGTTGACAAAGAATGTCTTTTATTTACTCACCTTGCTCGCGGAATTCATGTTGTGTATTTGATAACATACACGAATTCAACATACGATCGACAAAAGTTTGACACTCTAATGCCATCTTACATCGCACTCGTGACACTCCCATACAGCTCTGATCGTACAAACAGTACAAACAGGAACAAAAGAGTGCTCTTTCCGGTATGGTTATAGGTTTGTTCGTTTTCGCTGCATTAGAACTGCACTATAATTACACTGTATTGAACTGAACCACACTGAGACAGACTGAAGGTCTGTTCGTTTTCGCTGCACCGCTGAACTAGTGCAATAAGTTGAAATGAGAAAACATATACTCTCGCTTCAACTTATTATATTGCACTAGTTCAGCGGTGCAGCGAAAACGAACAGACCTCTTAATACAAAATAGTTTAGTTCAGTGCAAAAGTGTAATAAAGGATAAAAGAACGCCAGAGTGAAGTAAACAACATGGCGCATCACATGGCATTATTTGATTCTTCTGACGAAGAGGATTTTGTTGTAATGTCACCATTACAACCCATTGTAGATGAAAACAATGAATGTAATATACAACTAAATATATCAAATTTATTATTAATTTATAATATTATATACTCTACCGATCATCGATTTGAATAAATTGAATGGAATTGAAGTTTGCGGTTAATAAAGTTTAAGGAGCGAAGTTGGTTTCTGAGGCGGTATAGTTCGATTTTGTCCAACGAGAAAATTTGGCTGAGTTCTCCCTGTTTGAGGGAGGTATTTAAGTCAATATTAAAGAAGAGAATTATATTCGCAAAAATTTCTTAGATATTCCGGTTGTTCGATCCCGCCCCGCTGTCACCAGTTTTATATTTATATCACGTCCTGGGTGGTGCGTGACACGCGCGTCGGGAGCAGTTCCGCCACGCTAAGCAGCTAAGTAAGCTGAGAGGGAAGGTTGCGGAAGGTTGTACGAGAGATTTTGAAGTGGGATCGATGGAATGAGTAGGATTATGAGGGAAAGACAATAACCAAATAAAATAAAATAAAAATACAATTTATTATTGTTTTCGCGAAGTTTAGATAATTTTCGGCCGAAATGGCAACTGATTTTTCGCTACGATCCGAAGAAATAGTATAAGATTGACGGTCGGACCGTATTGATGTATGGATACCGGTTCTTATTATTATTATTATCTTATAAGGGTAGACCTACATTCGTTGGCTAATCCAAAATAATAGGTTGAGAGAAGTACGTCGCATTTGCAAGAAGAGGGAGACAGGCGGCCGAGCTGAGACCACTCGGGTTAGCTGCAGGGGGAAATTTCGTACAATATCTGGCACTTGCCGATGCAGTACACGGATTTTATCAGTGATGCATTTTTTTCGTTATTGACTAAAACTCGAGATGACTGACTGCAACTAAGAATCGCGAAGATTGAGAAGAAAACCGATTGCCTAAAACTGAAAAGTACTGCAAAAGCTGGACTAACTGCAAGCACTGTACTGAAAAAACGTCTACTACTACTACTACTACTCTTATTACTGACTGTCGCGAAGATGAGGCTCTTTTTTATAAGTTCGTTTTCTCTCTTCCTCTTTCTTTCGCAATCGCGATGGTCAGCATTTTCGGTGGAAACACCAACGGACTTAACGTTCCACGGTGTTCTTAGGTTTATTGAGATAAGATGAGAGACGGGTCATGCATATCTGTTCTTTCGGAGTGGAAAAATTTAGTTCATTCAAGTCGCACATGATATCTGAAAATCGCATAACATAATCCATCTCACACACCGAACATGATTGGTGGGACAATAAAGGTCAGAAGGCGCGGAGTTATCAGATTAATTTCGAATTTTAATATAGTAACAAGTGAAGGGAGTTATGAGATTTTCTGTAAATGGTAACGTGACACGCGCGCCCTAGGCTTTCGCGCGCTAATAAGTCACGGAGCCTTCAAGTCTGATCCTTGAAGAGATTCTTATTTTGCTTAAAAATTGCTGGTCAGTCTGCATAACGATACTTCTGCTATTTGGTGGCGGTAACTGCCGGATCTAATTTAATTGAATTTAATAAGCTCGAAAAAAGGTAAGTAAAAAATGTGAATTATTTTAATGAAACAAAGTATAACAACAATACGGTCGGAACTACAAACTAACATTATAATTGATTTTGGAAGCAGAAACGGCTCCGTACGATGTCGATAGGCGACTACCGGGGTGAAAGAAGAGTATAGGGAAGGGAGTGCGGAAAAAAAGAGCGATAAAAAAGGGGTGGAAGGAGTTCCGGGGTACCTCGGGACGTAACAATATATATATATATATATATTGTTATATATATATATATATTGCTGCTATATATTCCTCTCGAATGGAAGAAACACGCATGAACAATTAACCTAAACAAGGCCTATGAATCCGAGTAGGCATTCGATGATGAGTCGTGAAACAGTCGATAAAATCATCTATAGAGCGAGTAATAAATAGCGAAATATAACAATCGAAGACCATGGCCACATATATGTTAACAATTGAATATTACCTCTTATTGTCCTTGCTTTCTTTGCTTCAACGAAAGCGCGTAATAATATTGACGGGGAGATATTACAGCACAATTACGCACAGTGGTAATACGCGGTTACAATTAAAAAGACACTTAAAAAAAAGAGAGAAAAAAAATGTATATACTGTCAGAAATAAAGTAACATCCTAACTTAAAATTATAAGTTACATCTTTGGGCAGTCAACATAATTGTTTCGCTGCACAATTGTATCCCGGCGTGTGTCATACGCGAGACACGCCGATACGATCGTCGTCGTCGGATTAGGATTACTTCACGCGTAACAAAATATTGGCATCTCTCAATGGCATTCAGCGAGTTATGTCTAACATAGACGGCTAAAAAAGCCTTCTTTACAAAAAAGAAAAGGAAGAAAAAAAAAAGAGTGAAAAATGACTTGTTTCTCAGCGCGACGGAATTTAGTCGGAAAATCGCTGCCGAAATGTTGCTTCGCGCAGCTTTTGCGCGCAGCCGGAGACGCGCGCGCGGAGAGACATTCATTCGTCGAGTTCAGTGGTGGGATCGGGGGTGAATTTTCTTTTTGGTTGTTATGGCAACACGACGAGTAAACGGTGTTTCGCTGTTATTATCTAGCGATAGATGTGATATACAATGAACGCTCGGAACAGTGCGCTGGATTGGACGATTACAAGATTCGCACTCTTCAATCGTACATACTGCGGACGTTTAGCGGCGGGCGCGACGAACGGCGCTGATACAGGCTCTCCTATTCGCAACACATCCTCGCGCGAATATATACCTCTTGATCCAACGAGGTTCCGTTAAAATAGACTCGATCAAACTGTACCGTGCGAAACTTCGAGACAACTTGGATCATATAATGCGAATAAAATACGTGGTGGTGCCTCGTTCATTGTCGTTCATCGAGCTTACACGATATACTGTGTGGAACATTCGTTCTCTCTCTCTCTCTCTCTCTCTCTGTGTGTGTGTGTGTGTGTGTGTGTGTGTGTGTGTGTACACATTTCACTCGACAGTCGATTAAGTGCATACCAAAAATAAACCAGCGCGTATACAACGTGTATAAATGGGCGACCGCTCTTGTCGACGGCTCTTTCTTTCATAGTTTTGGTATCTCGGCACTTCCGCGGTACAGAAGTGATCCCCGTTTCAACGTAGAAATACGTGCGATATGCAGTTGCCTGTCTTTCATCGGTACTCTCGGCGATAAAATTAAATTAAATTCTCGAGATAAAAGTTAACATATAAAGCTATTCGTTGCACATTATGTATCTGCGTAACAATGGCTAATAACAAGGCAGCGTGATAGATTTTCAATAATCTTCAGCGGATACCGCGGGTGCTAAAATTATCGATCGGAGAGAGACGTAATTCCATCCGTTGAACAATGAATATTACGCGCGCGCGCACACACACACACACACACACATTATTCAAACATCTCATTCCGTACGTTAGGTCCATTTCGAGAAACGAGGAAAGACGTCCGACGAAAAGAGATTTTAGGTTCGACCATTCATCTGGGTTTATCCTATGTAGAGAGCGCGTATTTGAACTAGATCAAGTTATATAATCGTCAAACTATTTCTCTCTCTCTCTTTCTTATATCTTGGTACGTAATGTACAATCCAACGATCTTCGCAACCTGTGGAGAATATCGCGCATATGAAAGAATCTTAAGATAGCTGGAAATTTGGAAGCTTGAGACGCGCGCTATCACCTATTTTGCATTGCAAAATCTTCACTTATGTTTAAGTACTAATGGCAATGCTATTGTTAACGAATAATTCGATATTCCAATGAAATACCAATCCGTTTTTATCGGAAAGAACGATTGTTGATTGAAGAGAAAGGAAAGCTCCATTACGGCGGGGAAGAACGCACACACATACATATATTTCTTGCACGTTTTCACGTTGCATTTTAAAATTCTCGAAGTGTTCCGTTCGAACCGACGATCGACAATGTTCGCAACGTGTTCGTTCAGCCCTTTCGTGCTTGAGGGAGAACGTCGCTTCTTTGGCTTGTGATATTTCTCTTCGTAAAGATACGTAATATTACTAAGACGCGGGGTATGTATGATGTAACGATGCAACGTAATATAATCACTCTGTGGCTAATCAAGAAGCTTTAAGCGCATTACGATCAACCGTGAAGTGACGATTAATTATAATAAATATAAGGTATTAATACTTAATTATAAGTAGCCAATCGCCAATTTTCCCGATAAAGTTCTACCGATCCTACGATTCTCCGTTGTTTCGCGCTCACACGAATTTCGAATAATTTCGGAACATCGGGGATCATTCGCAAGCTTGATTAATCTTGTTACCAACATGCTATACGGGACATGCTCGTCATTGGTGCTCTCACACGAGTGCTTTTGAACACAGGAGACTAAAGGAGACAGTCGGAGAACGGCGCCGAATATATGTCGCGCGTGTATACGTGTATATAAACATAACATGCTAAAATATATATATATATATATATATTATTTTACTATTTGTACATACACATTAACTTAAACTCGATACACTAGAGAGATAACTGCGCATTGTGTAACTTATTTCGTTTCATAACAGGTATTCCAACTGACTCACACGGTTTTTAATTAATTTACCGGAGGATGAGAAGAGAGATATATATACCATCCATCTAACGAAACTTAAATACAAACATATGCAGTTGCGACATTTTACATTAAAAAAAAAAAAAAAAAAAAAAAAA